CTTCCGTGTAGAGTCTTGCTGATGGGTGTAACAGCTGCAACTACTAGGGAACATGCGTATCGTGATGCATAGCTGTCACTCCATTGATGCCGGCGATTGGGTTGATCAAGGGTATGAAGATTACTTGCTTCTCCCCTTGTTGTATCCACGGGTAGCAACTGCCTAGTATGCTCATACGTGCTCCTGATGTACGGTCGGTAGAGCACATAATTGTTTTGTTGCAATCTGCATCTCCCTCGTTTGTCATCACCATCATGTTGCTAGGCGTTCTTCTGCATCATCGAAGTTACGTCAGGGCTTGTAACGCTTCGGCTTCTGATAGAATCGCCTCCAATACACGTACCCTAGGGTCGTAGGTGTGCGAATGTTGCCGGATTCAAGGTCATGACTCCTCGGTCTGTCAACTCTCGTGCCTTTGTGTGATGGCATAAAAACCTGGAATCGCGGTCACATGATTCGGATGTCGTCTCTTGAGGTTGGTGTCAAACTTCTCCAATCAATAAGTGCGGATGGCTGAGATTCGTAGTGATGATGAATCGATCAGGTCCTGTAACGAAGTAGTGTCTCACTGTTCCTAACAAGACATAGTAAATGCGTCGTAGTTGCAAGCAAAATCTGCTCCTACGCATCAACTTTTGTTGGCGAGGATTTTGCAAGAGAAAACTGCTACTTCTCTACAATTCTTCATGCGCCCAATTGACAAAGTATTTTACACCGCCGATGAAGAACGATAGTTTTATGCGAGTCGGTGTAGTCGTTGGAGATGTCCTGCTACATTGTTGGTGCACCACCAAAATCGACTTCTTTGGTTAAGTACGAAATTCTGCTTCGTTGGTGTCGATCCGGCTTCAAATTTAGATTCTGACATTTCATAGGAAATGTTGTCTATTCTGCGGCTGGCCGAGTAGTATGCAATCGTTGTGTCGCCGGGATTGAATGTAGACTCCCAAACGTTTTGCTCCCATTGCGTAGTCTCTCGGTCCATTTATGCCATCGATTCGGTGACGATCTGATGATCCGCGTGCAGTGTCAGCAGTTTTGCCGGTCAATGATACCAAGTAGGTGTTTGTTGCTGATGATTGTGACTGTTGAGAAGTTTTTGGGCCGAAAATCATGATTTGATGAGGAGATCTGAATTTTGAGAGCTGGAAATTTTGAAGACCTAGTCGTCAGAGTTGATGTCGGCGTATATCTTCTTCTCGTCGTCAAATTCTCGTACTAAAGAAACTTGAGCTCGATCTGGTCCGCTGGTTCAATGCTGATCCAACGGTCCAAACACCAAGCAACCTGAAAATATTCTTGAGTATCGTTCAGCTGCGTCGAATGTCGGGGTCAACTCGTTTTATGCGGCAATTCTAAGTCATCGATTTCCGTTGTCGAATGATCGGACGCGCGCAAACAATCCGCTGCTATTGTGGTGCCGTTTCTGAACACGCGGAAACTCGAGCTGCAACAACTCAGATTCATTTTGCCCCGGACGATCTGAAGCATCAAAGTTGAATCGGACGGCTGTCGTAGATCGTCGCTGGTGCAACTCCAAGATTCGTGGCAAAATAGGAAATTCTTGGAAAACGCCGCAGGGTAAGCTCCACCAGCTACCGTCGATCGCTTCGGAGGGCAGAAAATACTACAGTTTTTAATGCAAGTACTTCGGGGGCATCCTCTCATTAGCGAGGGTCGCTGACGTATGCCCCCCCCCCCCCGGAAAAATCGGCTCCGTCAATATTGAATATCGAACGCTTGGCAATGCTGCTCGCCATGAATGGGGACCCTAGGTGCAAATGCCCGAGGTTAGTTGGAACTTAGTAAGAAAAATTGGATTTTACTTACACAATCGGAAAGTTCGACTCCATCCTCGGCATGCTCCTAGAGGCCCAGTGGGTAAGCGTTGATCGGAAACCTTGTGCTCTGATTACCAAGTGTCATATGTCCAGGATTTAGCGGAAGTTTGAGTGATACTAATCAAGAATTGAATCTCGAATTGGATGTCTACAAGCAAAAAAATCAATGCTATTTATACCTACGAGAACTCAAGGGAAGGGAAACTAGGCCCTTTTAAGAGAGTTCTAGAGATGAGTGGAACTGCCCGTAGAAACACCACCTAGAAGCATGGTAGGGATTCTAGAGATACGGTGACGGAACACTCCACGCAATACAAAACATGTCACTCAAAGAAAGTCCAAAACACTCCGTAACACGTATGATATATATATAATATATCAATGTGTAGGATAGAGTGTATGAATTTCCAAGAAAGGAAAAGCACACAAAATAACACACAATATATAGCAAATATGCAAATGGATGCCCTCAAGGATTCGGCAAGTCTCATCCTCTTACAGCCATGCGAGTGGCAAGATCAGCGACAGTGGGGCAGGTCGCGAGATCAGGGAAGAGCAGGGACAGGAGGAGACGACCTGTAAAGGCGGAAGAGGGAGTGGAATAGCGAGCAATGATTGCATCTAGGTACTCCTTGGCCGTCTGTAGGGCCTGAAAGTGGGGACGCTCAGACAGGGGGAGAGCATGACTGATTGCTAGCTGCGCAGCGGCGTCACGCGACTCCCAAACAGAGCGGGCAATTTCAGCAGCTGTGAAAGCCTCATGCTCAGCAAGCGTGGGGGCATCAGGAAGGGCAACAGACACGGGGGGGCAGGGCAGCTTAATGTCGTCATGGATGGCCAGGGACTGGCCATCCTGATGCTGACCTTTCAGCTGGCGGCGCATATCGGCGAGCCACGCCTCAACATCGGTAGCTCGACCCTCCACGTCCAGGCGGAGAATAGAGTCTGCCATGACACAGCTGCAGCAGCTGGAGAGCTCAAGCATAGGAGGAGGAGGGAGGAGGCGGGTGCGGTGGAGTGCGGTGAAGCTGCGAGAGAGGAGACAGCCGGCAGGGGCGCTGGCGCAGAGGTGACACCAGGGCTGGCGGCGAGCTAGGGCCGGTAGCGAGTAGGGGCCGACGGCGAGCAGGGGCCGGCGTGTCAAGCTGGGGTGGTGCAGCGAGCCGAAGCCGACGCGGCTGACTGGGGCGACATGACGAGCTGGGGTTGACGCGACAGGCTGGAGCGGCGCGGCAAGCTGGGGCCGGCGGCGAGCTGGGGCCAGCAGCGAGCTGTGGCCGGCAGCGAGCAAGGGGCCGTGCGGTGAGCTGGGGGCCGTGCGAGGAGTTGGGGCCGGTGGCGAGCTGGGGTCGGCGGCAAGCTGGGGCCGGCGGCAAGCTGGAAACCGCGCGGCGAGCTGGGGCCCGCACGAGGAGCTGGGGCCGGCGGCGAGCTGTGATCAGCAGTGAGCTGGGGGCCGGCGGCGAGCTGGAGGCCGCACGGCGAGCTGTGGCCGATAGCGTGCTGGGGGCCGCGTGACGAGGTGGGGCTCGCGGCGAGTGGAGGACGGCGGCGAGCTGGGGCCTGCCGCGAGCAGGGGGCCGCGCGGCGAGTTGGAGACCGCGCGGCGAACTAGGGCTGGCAACGAGTGGGGGCTGGCAGCGAGCTGGGGCCGCGCGATGAGCTGGGGCCAGCAGCGAGCGGATGCTGGCAGCGAGCTGGGGCCTCCCGCAAGCAGGTGCCGCGCAGCGAGCTGGGGCCAGCGGCGAGCTGGGGCCAGCGGCAAGCAGGGGGCTGCGCAGCGAGTGGGGGCCGACGACGAGCTGGTGGCCGCGCGGCGAGCCGAGGCCTGCGGGGAGCTGGGGGCCGCGTGGTCAGCTGGGGTCGTCGCGGCGAGTTAGGGCGGCGAGGCGAGACAAGGCCAGCGCGGCAGGCTAGGGGCCAGCGCGGCGGGCTAGGGGCCAGCGCGGTGGGCTAGGTCGGGGCGCTCTACGGTAGGCTAGGGCGGAAGCGCGGGTGGGTGGGACCTACCTAGCGTAATACCATGTCAGAGTAAAGAAGTGTACTGAAGCAAGGGATACGATGGAAGTATATGGTTGGGTGTTGTACTCTCTAAGATCACGAACCCATCTAGCCTATAACGGCTACGTATAAGACATATGTATAAGTTGACAATCCTCTCACGGCACGATGCCTGAATGGGCTATGCTTGCTCCCCAAGCCTGTTTGTCCACGCGATGCGACACCTGCCCCTCGGGCGATGGGATGCTGAGAGGTGGTTGTCTGTGATTGGCTGGTCTGTGCAATGAGCTGGCACTAGAAGGTTAGGTAGGATGCGAGGCGAATTGTTCTTTCAGGCAAGCGCACCGACAGTCGCAAGACTGTCGCTCGAGCGCCCTGCAAAATTCAAGCGTGTAACAGGCTCGGGTTTTGCTGATCAGCAAGCTGCAAAACGAACGTGTTGTCGGATCTTAGGAAATTGAGTACACACTGGTCGCTGAGAATGTGAGCTCAGGGAATTGAGCTCAGGGAAATGAGCCCACCTCAGGGAAGTGAGCTCAGGAAAGTGAGCTCAGGAAAGTGAGCTCAGAGAAGTGAGCTCATGGAAGTGAGCTCACCTCAGGGATGTGAGCTCAGGGATGTGAGCTCAGGGAAGTGTGCTTTGAGAAGTGATCTAAAGAAAGTGAGCTCAAGGAAGTGAGCTCAGGGAAGTGAGCTTAGGGAAGTGAGCTAAGAGAAGTGAGCTCACCTCAGGGATGTGAGCTCAAGGAAGTGTGCTCAGAGAAGTGAGCTCAAGAAAGTGAGCTCCAGGGAAGTGAGCTCACCTCATGGAAGTGACCTCAGAAGTGAGCTCAAGAAAGTTAGCTCTGGGAAGTGAGCTCAGGGAAGTGAGCTCAGGGAAGTAAGCTCACTGAAGTGATCTCAAGAAAGTGAGCTCACCTCGAGGAAGTGTGCTCAGCTCACCTCAAAGAAGTAAGCTCATGCACGTGTGCTCAAGGAAGTGAGCTTAGGGAAGTGAGATTACCTCAAGAAAGTGAGCTCACCTTACGGAAGTTAGCTCACCTTACGGAAGTTAGCTCAGGGAAATCAGCTCAGGGTTTCGGGTTTAGGAAAAACCCAAGTTAATTCAAGTATCTCGAATGTTCGGATCTCTTTATTTTCAATACATTCAAGTGTGTACTAACTTGAATCCACTCGAACACGGTTCTTTCTTTGCATGCAGCACATTTCACACCAAGATCACGGAGCTGGAAAAAAACACCAGGAAGCCACATGATGCATGTTGCGTGAGAACCAGCCCTCCAAGCTACTTAATGCCGTCGTGAACTTGCAAACAATTCAGCTAGCCCCCGCTAAAGCGGATGGATCAAGCCTGCAGTGGTCTTCTGAGTTGGCTTGGCTCAAGGCTGCTGCAAAGCGGTTGGAGTGCATGCAGGAGCTATCCCTCCCTCTGCTGCTTGTAGATCCTGGTGTGCCATGTGCTGCGTTTTGCTGCGTTGTACTGCGGTGGTCTGTGGTATGAGATGGTGTGTACACTCTGGTGGTGGACTGTGTGAGTGAGGCTGGCAACTGGAGATGGGGAAGGGTGTGTGTGTGTGTGTGTGGCCGTGCATCATCATGCACTCACCCGTGTGACTAACGGCATCTGCACCACATGCCCATGCTGATCCTCCCACCTTACCGAACCAAACCCAAACCTCTCCCGAGCCTCAGCCGCCTGCCCCATTGGCTGCAGCCGAACCACAAACCGCTTTGACTGCCCTGGGCCAATCGTAAACTGGTCCGGGATAACCTGAACTGCCACGTCAGCAGGAGCTGTAACCGTAGCTTTGTATGCTGACGTGGCGTTGTACACGCTGGTAACTGTCCTGGGGATGTCAGTTGCTTTCTGGAGATGAGAGACAGAGATGGATGGACGGTTGAGATGTGTCGCTGGGATGGAACGGACGTTGGATGCCTTGTTGCGGGCCCCACTTCTCTCCCATCTCCACCACAAAGACCACCACCTCTTTTGCTTTGGTTTGCTTGATACCGAAGACCAGATGCTATTCCTGCTATAGCCACTGCTGCTGATATCACTGCTGCTGGTGCTGCTGCTGATACTACTGCTGCTGCTGCTGCTGCTGATACTACTGCTGCTGCTGATCCCCCTTTTGCTGACCCTCCTGCTCCCAACATTCAGAAGGGCCGTTGCCTCATCCTTGCTCCTCCCAACCAGAAACCCCACATAGTCATCATACCCCGCACTGAATGTCAGTCCAGGGTCCAGCACTCTAGCAGCATCCACATGCCCCGCGCCCATATCCCACCACGTCGCATCATCCCCACTGGCCTTCTTAATAACCTCCCTTTTATTATTCACTACACTCGCAGTCGTCGTTATCGCAGATATAATCTGCGTAGGCGTCCAATTTGGTTTCTTTTGCATTATAAGCGCTGCGATTCCCGCGAGGTGAGGTGTAGCCATAGATGTTCCGGAAATGATCCCAAACGCGGGAGGTCCGGTGGCAGCTGCCGAGCCTGCGCTGGGACCTCGGTAGGCCGCCCAGAGCAGGTGTCCCGGGCCTACGATGTCAGGTTTGAGGATGTCGTTAGTTGGGAGGTACGGGGGGAGGGTGGAAGAGGTGGTGGGGTTGACTGGCGGCCCGGTGGAGGAGAAAGAGGCGATGGCAGGTGCTGGGGAGGAGGAGGTGAAATGCTGGGATAGGGACGCCTGGTGGCTGGTTTGGGATGGGAGAGATTTTGGGAGGGGGAGATGGTGGGGGGGTGGGGAAAGTGGAAAGCAGTAGTGAAAAGAATGAGTGTGCCTGGCAAGACAAGGGGTGGGACTGGTGGAGGAGAAAGAGGCGATGGCAGGTGCTGGGGAAGAGGAGGTGAAATGCTGGGATAGGGACGCCAGGTGGCTGGTGATTTGGAGAAAAAAGGGGGAGAGATGGAAGGAGCCATCGGGAAAAGGGGTAAAATGGAAGCAAGAAGAAGAGGGGAGAAGGAAAAGAATCAGTTAGAGGCCAAGGACAAGGGGTGGTGAGCAGGCCAAGAATCAGGGAGGGGGAGGGCAGGCACACTCATGCATGAGTGTGCCTGGCAGGACAAGGGTTGGTGCGAGTGAGCAGGGAGGGTGGTGGTGGTGGGGTTGACTGGGGAACCGGTGGAGGAGGAAGAGGCGATGGCAGGGGCTGGGGAGGAGGAGGAGGTGAAGGGGTGGAATAGGGTCCCCTGGTGGCTGGCGAAGGGATGGGGGAAGGATTGGGGAGGGGGGGATTCGTACCTGGTGGGGTCCTTCCAAGGAAGCTTCTGAGGGCGGTAACATCAGCAGCCCTAATGTAGACCACAGGGATGGGCGTGTACATCAGCCTTATAGGGGCGTCCGTCGCCCCCAGCAGCACCACGGCAGGCATATGACCCACTCCCCTTTCCTTACCTTGTGGTTCGGCTTAAAAAGCTCCTCAGCGCAGCAGCATCGGTGCTCTTGATGTAGACCGCGGGGATGGGCACGAAGAGAAGCCTTATAGGGGAGTCCGTCGCCCCCAGCAGCACCACCGCAGCGGCCCGCAGCCTTGTAGCGTCGGCAAGAACGTCGGCTTGTGGACGAGAGGAGAGCGAGCAGAGGAGGAGAGTGCCGGCGGTGAGAGAGGCGTTGATGCTGGGCGCGTGGCACTGGCCGGCCTGTTTGAGGGGGAGGAATAAGGGAGGGGGCGGGTGGGGAGGGGGGGGTGCACAGCCAGTCACCATGGATGCATGGATACGGTATGCGTGGATACCATGGATGCATGGATGCATGGATACGGTATACGTGGATACCATGGATGCATGGATACGGTATGCGTGGATGCCATGGATGCATGGATGCATGGATACGGTATGCGTGGATACCATGGATGCATGGATGCATGGATACGGTATGCGTGGATACCATGGATGCATGGATGCATGGATACAGTATGCGTGGATACCATGGATGCATGGATGCATGGATACGGTATGCGTGGATACCATGGATGCATGGATACGGTATGCGTGGATACCATGGATGCATGGATACGGTATGCGTGGATACCATGGATGCATGGATACGGTATGCGTGGATACCATGGATGCATGGATACGGTATGCGTGGATACCATGGATGCATGGATGCATGGATACGGTATGCGTGGATACCATGGATGCATGGATGCATGTATACAGTATGCGTGGATACCATGGATGCATGGATGCATGGATACGGTATGCGTGGATACCATGGATGCATGGATACGGTATGCGTGGATACCATGGATGCATGGATGCATGGATACGGTATGCGTGGATACCATGGATGCATGGATGCATGGATACAGTATGCGTGGATACCATGGATGCATGGATACGGTATGCGTGGATACCATGGATGCATGGATACGGTATGCGTGGATACCATGGATGCATGGATACGGTATGCGTGGATACCATGGATGCATGGATACGGTATACGTGGATACCATGGATGCCATGGATGCATGGATACGCTGCTCAACTACGGAGTGAGCACTCACCATGGATGCATCAGCGCCAGCAGCAGCGGCATCCCTGGCGTCCAGCACAGGCAACCCAAACCGTCAAGGGTGTGTGTACCTCCAGAGCTCAACCCAGGGATCACCAAACTCTCTCTCTCTCCCCTGGGGTGGAAGCTGAAACGCTTTCAGCACAAGGGCTTTCAGTTGAAGGGCTGGGAGCGAGCACCCACCAGTGTCTTGTCAGCACCGCTATTAGCAGCATCCCTGGCGTCCAGCACAGGCAGGCCAACTGTCAAGGGTGTACCTCCATAGCTCAACCCGGGGATCACCAAACTCTCTCTCTCCCCTGGGGTGGAAGGTGAAGGGATTTCAGCCGAAGGGCTTTCAGCTGAAGGGCTTTCAGCCGAAGGGATGGGAGCAGATGCAGAGGCAGCAGCAGGGGCAGCAGCAGTGCTTGTAGCAGAACTGGTTGTAGCAGTGCTTGAGGCAGGGACAGCAGAGATGGTGAGATTTGCCATGTAGTCCCGACCTATGGTGCTGCCACAGAGGAAAAGGGAAACGGGTGGAGGGTATACAGTGGGGGGATGAGTGAAGGGGGGTGAGTGAAGGGATGGTGGCAGGGACAGCAGAGATGGTGAGATTTGCCATGTAGTCCCGACCTATTTATGCTGCCACTGGGGGAAATAGGCGGGGGTTGGGGAGGGGTGGGGGGTCTCAACAGGTGCACCTTTTTTTTTTAACTTCTGTGGCAGAGGATAGCCAGGCTCAAGGCCAACCTCTGCACCTTAAAGGGCACAGCTTTTGAGGCGCCTCAAAAGCACTCCCAGGCCCAAGGCTAACCTCTGCCCCTCAAAGGGCACGGCACACCTGGCGCCAACAGTGAGGTACCACGGCAATGCTTTACTTATTGTCCCCACAGCCTTGGGGGATGGAAAGAAGGTGCACCGAAGCTCCGAGGTCAGTGCTCCGGAGTTGAGAGACGGGTTGACGGCACTGATGAATGCGAGTCTCAGAATAACCAACCTTCAGCTGGGAGGTACGACGCTAACTATTTTTGAGGCGCCTCAAAAGTTACCAACCTATTTTTGAGGCGCCTCAAAAATAACCAACCTTTAGCTGGGAGGCACGACCGACCCTCACCTGGCGCCCACTGTGAGGTACCACGGCGACGCGTTGCTTATTGTCCCCACAGCCTTAGCAGAGGAAGGTGCTCCTGAGTTTCCTGCTGCAAGCGCGACGAACACTCCAGCCTGGGGTTGTGGGAAGGGGAGAGAGGGACGATTCGAGAGGGAGAGGTCAAGAATGAGGAGCAAGAGTTGGGACTTTTGAGGCGCCTCAAAAGGACAGAGAGGAACGACAGCGACAGCAACAGCAACAGCGATAGCAACAGCGACAGCAACAGCAACAGTGACAGCAACAGCAACAGCGACGGCAACAGCAACAGCAACAGCGACGGCAACAGGGACAGCGACAGCGATAGCGATAGCAACAGCAACAGCGGCAGCGACAGCAACAGCGACAGCAACAGCGACAGCAACAGCGACAGCAACAGCGACAGCAACAGCGACAGCGACAGCAACAGCGACAGCAACAGCGACGTCAACAGCGACAGCAACAGCGACAGCAACAGCGACAGCAACAGCGACAGCGACAGCAACAGCGACAGCAACAGCGACGCAACAGTGACGGCAACAGCGACGGCAACAGTGACAGCAACAGCGACAGCAACAGCGACGGCAACAGCGACGGCAACAGCGACAGCGACAGCGATAGCGATAGCAACAGCAACAGCGACAGCGACAGCAACAGCGACAGCAACAGCGACAGCGACAGCAACAGCGACAGCAACAGCGACAGCGACAGCAACAGCGACAGCGACAGCAACAGCGACAGCGACAGCGACAGCGACAGCAACAGCGACAGCGATAGTGACAGCAACAGCGACAGCGACAGCGACAGCAACAGCAACAGCGACAGCGACAGCAACAGCGACAGCGACAGCAATAGCGACAGCGATAGCGACAGCGATAGCGACAGCGACAGCACATCGAAGCCATCACAGTTCAGAGGTGCATCAAAGTCGGTCCGTCACCTCCACAGCACAATTGTCCGAAGTGAGAGGAGGAGTGACGACCACACCACTATCTCACCTTGGCTGCATACAGGTAGCCAATATCAGCAAAGTAATCCGGAGTGTCCCCCCCAAGCGACAGCGACAGCACATCGACGCCATCAGCCACAGCAGTATCCACTGCTGCCCGGATATCCGACCCCATGCCGGTCGTTCCACCGTCCGCCGTCCGCCAGAGCGCCTTGTACATGGCGATGCGCGCGCGTGGCGCCACGCCGCTGGCCGCCCCATAGCTGCGTCCGTTCATCGCCACACTCACGTTGGCGTTGCCACCAGCGGCTCTGGTTGGGAGAAGCGATTTGGAGGGGGGATAGGGAGGAGCCAGTCATCTCCACACTCACATTGGCGTTGCCCACTGCCGCTCTATACGCGTTGGGGGAGGGGTGGCGGGCGCCGGGGGGAAATTGGGGAGAGGAGGGGTGGGGGAGATAGGAGAGGAGAACGGGAAATAACCGAGCAGTTTCGGTGTGTGTCGAGGTGCCTTGGAGCCGAGTGAGTGAGTGAGGTGCTGCGGCCATTCATTGGGCCACTCACGTTGCCCGCTGCCGCTCTGTTTTTCCAAGGGGAGGGAGGGAGGTGGTAGAGTGATGGGGGATGAGACGGTACACTCACGCTGGCTTCCCCCCCCAGCTAGGGGGAAGGCCGGGGGGAGGCCGGGGGGAGGCTGGGGGGAGAGGGTGGGGGGGGTTCAGGGGGAAGACAGAAGCATGGAGAAGAGAGATAGCCTGCGGCCACTCATCTCCACACTCACGTTCCGCCTGCCGCACTGGAAGTAGGGGGAAGGGGGGGGTGGGGGTGGGTGTTGGGGAGGAAGCGGAGGATAGTTTGGGAAAGAAGCAACAAAATACTTAGCAGCTTACAGTTGCTGATTAAGAGGCTTCAATGACAGCAGAGCGATATATGATGTAATGTCTAGTCACTCTATCATGAAGCAGCAGCCTCTAGTCACTCACTCACCCTGCGCACCACGTGCCGTGCTCGTTCCCGTCCCTAGGCGACATGAACTCCACTGATTCAACAATGCTGCCCTGAGTCCCAGCCCTTTACAGAGAACTGCGCCCCTATCAGCTTGCCAGCAGCAGACACACCATTCCCCACATCCACGCATTAACTGCACTCACCCTGCGCACCACGTGCCGTGCCCGTTGCCATCCCTAGGCGACATGAACTCCACAGATTCCGCAATGCTGCCCCCCGGGTTCGCCAGCAGCCCTTCCGCAAAGAACTGCGCTCCGATCAGCTTGCCGTTGCACGCTGACGCTGGGAAGTCGTCCGTTGCAGTGCAGCCGCCCCTCCAACTAGAAGGGACCGGGCCGTACGGGTCTGATGGCTGGAGGAAGGGACGGGTGGGGAAGGGGCGGGTGGGGAAGGGACGGGTGGGGAAGGGACGGGTGGGGAAGGGAAGGGGAGCCGGGGGTGGGCGAAAGTGGGAGAGTTGGAGTAGGGGGGAAGAGGGCCATTTTTGAGAATTCTAAAAAATGACTCCGTTATGGGACTGGGCAGTGCAATGCTGCTGCCCGGGTTCGCCAGCAGCCCCGCCACGAAGAACCGCGCTCCGGGCAGGACCGTAGGGGTCTGATGGCTGGGAGGGAGGAGGGGTTGGGCATGGGAGGAGGAGGGAAGAGGATCAGCTCATCATGGGAGAAAGAGAGCCGATCCTGCTCATCTGATTCCGCAATGCTGCTGCCTGGGTTCGCCAGCAGCCTCGCCACGAAGAACTGCGCTGCGATCAGCTTGCCGTTGCACGCTGTCTGCAGGAAGTCGTCTGTAGCCGTGAAGCCGCCTCGTCACTGAGAAGGGACCGGCCCGTAGGGGTCGGACCGGCCCCACTGAAAAGGGACCGGACCTTAGGGGCCTGATGGCTGGCTGGGTGAGGGGGCATGGGAGGGAAATTGGGGAAGGTAAGGAGTGATTTCTTGAACCACCACACACAGGCAGGCAGAAGAGAGTAGTGCATGAGTGCAAGCCATGCGCGATATTGCGCACGGGCAAGGACGCGTATGTTACAACCCACTTACATTTTTTTGGCGCCTCAAAAAAGGACGCGTATGTTATAACCCACTTACATTTTTGAGGCGCCTAAAAAAAGGACGCGTATGTTATAACCCACTTACATTGTTTGCAAATGAAGGGTGTTCCGGCCAGATTCCAGAGTCCACCACGCCTATAATCACATCCTCGCCTGCCCGGTTCTGCCCACCATTTGCTGCCCACAAGCTGTCGGGCAGCTTCAAAAAGGTTGGAGAGTCCACAGTGAGGCCTTTCACCTGCCCACAAGAAAAAGAAATCACCTCAGCAGTCAGGTATGGATCAAGCCATAACCTTTATGCGATTCACATCAAGTGCATATTTTATAACTACTACTCTTTACACACGGATAGTTCTATTTACACGTTAGTTTTTACAGTGTACACTCACCAGTCGGTCCTCCTGCACAGAAGCCACAGCAGGGTGCCGCTTCAGCCGTCGTGCCTCTGCTTTCGTCAGCGATACAGCAAATCCGTTAAGCGTATAGGTGTAGCTGTGTAACACTGCTGAAGCGGGGATCCGAACATCTGACAACAACCGTCGCTGCGAATTTCGCAGAAATCTGACGAAAGCTCGCACGTTTGGCGCGCGAATATCTGGCCGTCTAGGACGCATGCGACCCACGAGGCGATGAATCGCAGCCGTTGATTTCGTTCGCGAACCAGCCACCTTGTCCGTGCTGGACACCCCACGGAGTCTCCTCTCCACCGCCGTTGCGCTCTCCGCTGTCGTCGCCGCGGTGTCAGTTCTTCCAGCGACAGGAGAATCCATCGCGAACTCTCGGTTACCGTCGCTAACGTCGCTAGCTGTGTCGTCTGTTTCGCCAGCAGTCTCGTCGTCGTCTGGAGCAGCCGTCGCAGGAAGCCCCGGGATTTCGCCGTGGTAGTTGAGGACGGGAGGCGCGGTGAGCAGATGCACCATGTACGCACGCCGAATGCTCCCCCCTGCCGCTGTTGCTGCTCCTGCTGCTGCTGCTGCTGCTGCTGCTGTTACTGATGGTGCTGCTCCCGCTGCTGCTGCTGCGTCTGCCACTGATGCTCCTGCGTGGGAGTGGGCCGAAGGGAGGGGATGGTGATAGAAGTGAGGGATTGAGAGTGGGGCACAGGGGAGGGAAGGTGATAAAAGTGAGGGAAGGTGATAAAAGGAGGGAAAGTGATGGCGGGAGGAAAAGGTACGAGGACGCGAAGGTGGCAGGTACGGTAAGCCCAAATCCAGAGGACGGAATTCGCATTGTAAAAGGGGTTTCACAAGGCTCATTTCCGGGATTTGGTGAAGAGAACGGTAAAAAAGACGCGATGACAGAGAAAGACTGGCGAGGGAAGACTGGCGAAGGAAGACTGGCGAAGGAAGACTGGCGAAGGAAGACTGGCGAAGGAAGACTGGCGAAGGAAGACTCTTGAAGGAAGACTCTTGAAGGAAGACTGGCGAAGGAAGACTCGCGAAGCAAGACTGGCGAAGGAATCTTTGGAAAGAAAACGATGACTCCCCGTACCTTGCGCGGCGCTGCCGGCAGCAAAATTCCGTGGAGCGCCTACGAGTATTGCGAGGCAGGCTACGAGCAGCTGGAGGAGGCGGGGAAGCCGTCCGGCCATCGCGCTGTAGAACTATGCTCCACGATTGGAGCTATGCTCAATGCAATGGCGAGCGTAGTAGAACTATGCTACGATACGAGCCAACCTGCAGAACCACGCTCCACGATTTGAGCCTGTTCGCGTCGGGGGACTGAGACTACATGTCGAACGGACCTGCATTCTTAAAACCGTTTTGATTAACGATGAACTAGGGGTAGCGGTCGCCGAAGGCACATGCGTCAAATAGCAGCAGTTCTGGGTGTCTGTCGTGTCGGTCTGTGCAGTATGCTTTGCTCCTATACCTGTATGTAAACTTGGCTGCTTTGGCTGGAGGTTATGCGTGCGGAAAGGTCGGTTTGGGGCGAATTTCCAGCTGCACAACAAATGTGCGAGGAGGTTATTTCAGGCGGTTTGGGGTCGCGCCGCTCGCACTGGGCTTGGCATGGAGGAGAGAGAACGTGCGCTGCGAACCGCACGAAAGTTCACCACCGCGTTGGCGAAGCCAGTCTACAGCACACCGGCGAAGGGAAATGGCGTGGTAACAACTCTCGCTCAGAAAATAGACTCGTGCAGCGTCCAGGATTTGCCCATCCCGCCATGTTTCGCGAGACATGGAAGCCGTAACTTGCTAATGTAGATGGAAGTACTACACGCACTGCAAATTTTTAGGCCTTAGCATAGGAAATGGGTCTAACGCAATTCCATACCCAAAACATGATTTCGAAGGAATAAATGCTTTTGACTTCATACGAGAAGGCATGTACTACAACGGGCGTTTGCTGAAAAGGATGTCAAATGTAACTTATGTAGTTACTGTAGACTATACTTGATTGTGCCTTAGAGGGTACAACTCCTAGTCTATATACCCCTGTATCCTTCTATTCTACTCAACTACTCATTCTGATATGGTATCATAGTAGGTTTGCCCCCCCCCTAGCCCGCCCACGCTTCCGCCCTAGGCCCTAGCCGTCGTCACGCCCGCCCCTAGCCGTCGCGCCCGTCCCTAGCTGCCGTCTCGCCCGTTCCCAGCGGCCGTTCCTAGACGATGTCGCGACCGTTCCTAGCCGTTGCGGCTGTCCCTAGTCGTCTCGCGGCCGTCCCTAGCAGCCGTCGCGGCCGTCTCTAACCGCTGTCTCGCGGCCGTTCCTAGCCGTCGCGACCGTTCCTAGCTGCCGTCGCGGCCGTTCCTAGCCGTCGCGAACGCTCCTAGCCGCCGTCACGGTCGTTCCTAGCCGTTCTCGCGGCCGTTCCTAGCCGTCGTGGTCGTCCTTAGCCGCCGTCGCGGCCGTTCCTAGTCGTCCTGGCCGTTCCTAGCAGCCGTCGCCATCGTCCTACCCGGCCCCCTGCACCGTTGGGTACATCCCTAGCCGGCCCCATGTGCCGTCGCGCCCGTCCTAGCCGGCCCTGCTCGCCGTCGCGCCTGCCCCTAGCCGGCCCCTTCTCGTCGCCGCGCCCGTCCTGGCCGTTCCTCCCCTGAGCCGTCGCGCCCTCTCCTAGCTGGATCCTCGTGCCGCCGTGCCCGCTCCTAGCCGGCCCCTTCATGCCCGCTCCTTACCGGCCCCTCGTGCCCACCCCTCTTCGGCCCCGTGCCCGCCCCTTCCGGCCCCTCGCGTCCGCCGTCCACCGGCCGGCCCCTAGCGTCTGCCGTCGTCGCCGGCCCATCGCATCCGGCGTCCGCCGGCCGGCCCCTAGCATCCGCCGTCGTCGCCGGCCCTGCATTCGCTTCGCCGCCGGCCCGCCTCCGACTCGTGCCCGGCCCTTTCTTCCCGACCAACACCGCCCTACAACCCCTGGTACCGCACTACACCGCTTTGCACCGCACTGTCCCGCCCTGCACCACTTTGCACCGCACGGCACCGCTTTGTACCGCTCTGCACCGCTCTGCACCGCTCTGCACCGCACTACACCACGCTGTACCGCACTGCACCGCACTGCATCGCACTACACCGCACTGCACCGCTCTATACTGCACTGCATCGTTCCTGATGGTGAAGGTGCTTCGCTTTGATGCTAAGGGCCAGCCAATTGAGTTTAAGGCGTGGCTGGCCGACCTCCGCCGCCACCTCACTGGTTAGCGGCAGGATGGCCACTCGCTGTCTGTCCATCTTGACGGTACGCTCCCCTACCCTAACCCCCTGCTGCGCTACCCGCTGACCCCTCATCTGCTGAGCGTGAGTCCGCTGCGGCCGCTGCCCTTGCTCGCTCCGTCTGGCTGTCGCGTGATGCTGTCGCACAGCTTGCCATCAGCCATGCCCTCCCCGTGTCTGAGCGCCCTCGCTTTAGGTCTGTCACCACATCCCAGGCGTTCCTAGATGCTGTTGTCCAGCATTATTCCACCCCGTCTGCTGCCTCGGTAGGTCGCCTGATCCTTCCCATGCTCTTCCCTGACCTTGCGTCGTTTCCCACTGTCGCTGATCTGGCCGCCCACCTGCGCACTATAGACGAGACCTGGCGCGCTGCCTGCACTGACACACAGCTTCGCGCTCACCAGCCGCCCCTTTGCTCTGCTCTCTACCTTCTGGCCACCCGCCTCCCTGACCGTCTTGCCACTGCCCGCGACCGCTTCCTTAGCGTCTACCTTGGAGACCTCACCCTCACTGACTTTGTTGACACCCTGTCCGCCATAGAGGCCCGCCACCGCTCTATCGCCCAGACCAGCGGTACTGTGCCCGTCCCTATCTTTCAGGGTTGTGCCCCCGCTCAGTGCACCTTCTCCGACGGTTTTGCTGCTGTGGCTGAGATAGCCGCTGCAGCACAGGTCCGTTCGGGGAAAGGTCGCCGCCCCAAGGCTAGGCGCGGCGGAGGGGGTGGGGGTTCAGGTGTAGGTGGTGGTGGAGTTGGGTCACCTGGTGGTGGCGCGGACAAGGGGACCCTGACAGGTACAGGCCGAGCAGCCGTCTCAGCAGCCGCAGGTGTTGCAGCCGGACACGCGCCAGTCGCTGCAGCAGTCCTCGCACCAGCCGCAGCCGCCGCAGCAACCGCGGCGGGCGAGTGGTCTCCCACTTGGGTGGCCCGACGCTGGTGGTGGTGCTGGACGTGGTGGTCGTGCGTGTCGTGGGCTGCCGGGTGGTGGTTCGGGTGACGCGCGCTGTCAGTACCAGCTCCAGACCGGTCCTCGTCGTGACTTCGTTTGCGATAAGATCGGTCCCACCTCCGTCCGCTGTTTCCGTTGCCTGGACGACCTGTTTCGTCAGCGCTTCGGCCCATCGCCCGAGCTCCCAGTCTGGCACAGCTTGTTTTGTCATAGCGTCCCGATCTTTGATATGGACATGGATGAGATTGTTACTGCCTTGCATGTGATGTATGCTGATGACTCTAGTGTGCTTCCTTTTTATTACCCCTTATTGTCTAGTGTAGGTGTCCCTAGCTTAGTCTCCCCCGCTGCGTTAGGCGTAGGATCCCCTGCTTTGTTTAGCCTTGGTGCTTCCGTCGCTGCTTCGACTCCGGCCGCCACTGCCGTGCTTTCCTTCACCTTGGACTCTGGCGCTTCCTGGTGTTTCTTCTGCGACTGCACCACGCTTACGCCGCTTCCTATTCCTGCTGCAGTTTCTCTTGCTGACCCCTCCTCCGGCCCTGTAGTCGCCCGCAGTTCCACCACCCTTCCCTGTCCGGCGGTTCCTTCGGCTCTCTTACAGGTCTGCACATCCCCTCGTTCTCCAGGAACCTAGTTGGTGTCGGCTGCCTCCAGGACCTTGGCGTCACCACTACGTTCCCTGGTCACGAGCGGTACGCTGTCTGTACCGAGGCCGCCACTGGTGCCCCCCTTACCACGTTCCCACGGGACCCGGTGTCCGGCCTTTTCACACTGGACACTATGACTTCCCTGGCTGGGACGCCCCCTCAGGTGGCTGCGTCTACTCAGGTTGCTGCTGCCTGCTCCTGTCGATCACTCACTCACCCGACCCTCCTTTGGCACCACCGCCTAGGTCACCATGCGCTCCCTCGTCTGCGTTACATGTCCCAGCACGGTCTCGTCCTAGGCCTTCCCGGGTCGTTCCCCGAGTTTCCCTCTCCCCCAGCCCCACCTTGCACGCCCTGTGTCGAGGGCCGGCTCCGCTGTGCTCCTCACTCCTCCTCGTTTCCCCCTACTGCCGCACTGCTACAGACTCTGCACATGGACGTCTGGGGCCCCGCCCCGTCCATAGGCCGCGTCGAGAGCGCTACTTCCTAGTGCTTGTCGAAAACTACACGCGCTACACCACTGTGTTCCCCCTAGAGCAGAAGGCCGACGTGCCTGCATTCTCATCCCGTGGCTTATCTCTGCGCATGTCCACCACGGTCTCCCTGTCTTGCGTCTCCACTCCGATCGTGGTGGCGAGTTTGCCTCAGGTGTCCTTGGTCGTTTCTATCGTGCGGAGGGCATTACCCAGACGTTCACCTTGCCGGACTCCCCGCAGCAGAATGGGGTCACTGAGCGATGCATTGGTTTGGTCATGGAGGTGGCTCGCACCTCCATGATCCATGCTGGTGCCCCCCATTTTCTGTGGCCGTTCGCTGTTCGCTACGCCGCTCACCAGCTTAACCTGTAGCCGCACCCCAAGCAGCCGCAGGTTTCGCCAACCCTTCTTTGGTCTGGGTCACCTGGTGACGCGTCTGTGTTTCATGTCTGGGGCTGCCTTGCTCACGTTCGTGCCTCGGGCACGGACAAGCTCACTGCCCGCACCCTTCCCTGTGTCTTCCTCGGTATCCCCCTTGACGCGTCTAACTGGCACTTCTACCACCCGCCGCCTCACCGGTTCTTTCACTCTCGCGACGTCACCTTTGACGAGTCCGTCTCCTTCTACCGCCGCTTCTCCCACCAAGGTCCCCCGGTTACCCCCCCCTGTTCCTGGTCACCCCTTCCCCGGAAGTCCCTGCCCCTCCCCCTCCCCCTCCCCATCCTGCCCCCTCTGGTGTGTCCCGCAGCACCCCCCTTCCGTCGGTTGTCCCGGTTGAGGAGTCTGCTGACTCTGGTGGTCCTGCGGCGCAATCCTCACCGCCTGCCCCTTCTCAGGTGTCTCCTCCTCCGCCGTCGCCACCGCTGTCGCAGCCGTCGTCACTGCTGCCGCCGCCGTCGTCGCTGCCGCCGTTGCAACCGCCACCGCCGCAGCTGTCGCCGCAGTAGTTCGTTGACTCTGGGGGTGCTGAAGTTGGGGTGGGTACTAGTCCTGGGACTCCTGTCGTGGCTTGTCCCGGCGGGCCTGGGGGTGGTACCGGTGCTCGAGGGGTTCTGAGCTCTGGGGGTGTTCCTTCTAGGGGTGCTGAAGTGGAGTGTTCTGGAGGTAGCCGTCCGGCAGCTTGCGGTCCCGATGTCGGTGTCGCATCGCCACAGCAGCAGTCCCCGCCGGTGTCAGCTCTTCATCTGCTCGGCCTTCCATCTCTTGACCCCGCATATGTGCCTCCTCCTCCTCCTATCTACTACCCTGTGTTCCCTCCTCCGGACTCGTCTCCGACTCGTTTCCCCCCTCGTTCCCCTCTTGTGTCCCCTCCTCTGTCTCCTGACCCGACGCCTCCGTCTCACGTCTGGTCTCGCCGTCCCTCCCGTGCTCGACCTGTCTCCCCTGTCTCGCGCTCTCACCCTATGTTGCTTCGTTCCCACTCTCTCGTCCTCCTCTTCTCCCGTCGCCTCCTCCATCCTCCCTTGTTGTTGTGCCCCCCCCTCTGTCTGACTACCTGCGTGCCGCTCGTCCTCTTGTTCCTCGGGTCCTTGCCTCTCTTGTTACCGACCCGTCTGTTCCGGTTTCGTGTCTTGACGCTCTTGTCGTTGCGGTCGCTGACTTCGCCTCTACCCATTGCCTTGTCTACGCCACCGCTCTGGTCTCTGACCCTGGCTGTCCTCCGTCTATCGGGGGTGCTCCTGCCCTCGGCAGTGACCTCCTGGAGGACCATCAGTACGAGCTTGCTTTCCTGTCCGAGGCTACTCCCTATCTCTGTTCCATGCTTCTAGTCCCTGAGGGTGACCCCGACGCTTTCGACATCGCGACCCCTCGCACTTACGCTGAGGCGGTTTCGGGACCTTGGGCCTTCAGTTGATAGCTGCCATGGAGCAGGAGATGGCATCTTGGAGATCCACCGACACCTACGTCGACGCAGTTCCCCCACCTCGGGTGAACGTAGTCGATGGCCGCTGGCTCTTCAAGGTGAAGCGCCCTCCTGGAGAGCCGCCTGTGTTCAAGGCGCACTACGTGGCTAGAGGCTTTAGTCAACGTGAGGGGTTGGACTTCTTTCAGACTTTCTCTCCGACACCGAAGATGACTACTCTTCGGGTGCTGCTACACGTAGCAGCTCAGCGCGACTACGAGCTTCACCCCCTCGACTTCTCCACTGTGATTCTTCAGGGTAGTCTACACGAGCAAGTCTACCGGCGCCGCCCTCAGGGTTTCACTGGTACCTTTCCTCATGGGACCCAATGGCTCCTACGGCGCCCCGTCTACGGCCTGCGGTAGGCTCCCCGTGAGTGGCACGACATGCTGCGTGCTACCCTTGCTGACCTGCAGTTCTTTCCATCCTCTGCAGACCCCTCGCTCTTCGTTCGTGCTGGCCAGACTCCGTTCTACATCCTTGTTTACGTAGACGACCTGGTCTTCGCTACTGCAGACAGGGACGCACTGGCCTCTGTGAAGGCAGATCTACTGAGAAGACACACTTGCACTAACCTTGGAGAATTGCGCCATTACCTTGGCTTGCAGATCTCCAGGGACAGAGCAGCGCGCACCATCACTTTGACTCAGTCACACTTGGTGCGCCAGATCCTTCAGAGGTTCGGCCTTCAGTTCTACTCTGCACAGCCCACCCCTCTGTCTGTAGACCACATGCTCTCTGCTCCAGTTCCTGAGGAGTTGGTAGAGCCCAGCGGCCCTTACGCCGAGCTGGTGGGTTGCCTCATGTACCTGATGACTTGCACTCGCCCAGATCTCGCATACCCTCTCAGCATCCTGGCTCGCTTTGTGGCCACAGGCAAACACCGACCTCAGCACTGGTCTGCCGCTAAGAGGGTTTTGTGTTATCTTGCAAGTACATCGGGCATGGGGTTAGTGCTTGGAGGGCGTAGGCCAGTGGTCCTTACTGGGCAGACAGACGCTTCATGGGCAGACGATGCTGGGACTTTTAGGTCCTCACATGGCTACTGCTTTAGCCTTGGTTCAGGTGCTGTCTCGTGGAGAGCTACTCGCTCATCGTCTGTTGCCCAGTCCAGCTGTGAGGCCGAGATCTACGCCGGTGCCATGGCGGCACAGGAGCTCCGCTGGCTTACCTTCTTGCTCACTGACTTAGGTGAGCGGCCTAGCTCTGCCCCGGTCCTGTACGCTGACAACAGGGCCATGATCCTCCTGTGTCAGGAGCCGCGACTCCAGGGCAGAGCGAAGCACATCCAGCTGCGGTACTTCCTCCTGCGTGAGCTGCAGCAGCGTTGCCAGGCCCGCGTAGTACACTTGGCCTCCGGTGCCAACACAGCTGATATCTTTACGAAGGCGTTTGCGCCTAAAGATCATCAGCGGCACTGTATACAGCTTGGTCTTGTTCCTGTAGCTTCTCACTTGCTAGGGCCTTGATTGTGTACAAACCTTTTCTATATATATTACCCTGACTGGGCTTGTTGCCTCTCCCAGTGGCTGGACTAGTAGTGCCGCCCTGGTCTCACTCTTGCCTTGCCTGTATTCCTTTGACTGGTCTTTAGACCCTTGCCCCAGAGGCTGGACTAGTAGTGCCACCCTGAGCTGCTTCTTCTCCTGTTAGGCACTGCCCCTATATAGTCTAGGGGGTGTGTCAAATGTAGCTTATATAGTTACTGTAGACTATACTGGATTGTGCCTTAGAGGGTACAACCCCTAGTCTATATACCCCTGTATTCTTCTTTTCTACTCAGCTACTCATTCTGATAGAGACATGGTTCTTTACCAGCTCACTCCAGGCATCTCCTGTTAACTTCAGACTTTTTGAAAAGGAGGACAAGGTGCCATACATTCAAAAGTGGGGAGGAAGGGAAGGGAAAGCAGGACAACTTGCTACACCTGGTTATCGATCAATATACGGTACCACAACTTGCTAGTCCACCTAGCCTTCCTCAGGTCAGATCAGATCAGATCAGATCAGATCAGATCAGATCAGATCAGGTCGCGTGCTCTTCACACTCAGTAGTAGTCTGCCCGGATGCTGCGAGTTCGCCTCTGCTTCTCCGAGCCTGCTGTCTCCTGGTTCGACTTCCTCATCATGGCTGCAAACTCCTCGTAGTCGATCGTGCCGCTCTGGGTGGGCACAACAAAAAGAGGCGAGAGAGAAAAGGAGCGCACAATCATGTGAGAGGAAGCAGCTCCCGGTAGCAGCCGCGGGTAGCAGCTCCCGTGTCGAATTCCTCGTCGTCGCTCCAAGCAAGTCCTTGTTCGACTTCCTCATAGCCAATTGTGCCGCTCTGGGGCGAAAGCACGGAGTGAAAGAAAGACGAAGATAAAGCGAGTTGGGACGGCAGGTAAGGAGTTGGGCATGGAGGGAAGTGACCTGGAGGCTGGCTGGAGCCGCATGCTCATTATCTGGTATCTGTTGAGTCGAGTGTCACAGTGTCCCTGGCCAATACCTTAGAACGCTGGTTGTCACCAAACCTCCCTCCTCTCACATTATCTGTCTGCACTGATATGCACCTAATTTCCCGGCTCCAGCAGAATTTCCTCATTTGAGTACCTCGGGTCCTCCCTTACCTCAACACCCTCCCACCCTCAACACCCTCCCACCCCACATGCAGATCTCGCACCTTATCCATATCCTTCTCCTCAATAACTTGCTCCAGCTCCCCCCCCTCCAGCACATCCTCATTTGCCGTCAGATTCCCTGCACACCTTTTCTCCTCGGGAGCCACACATCTCCTCACGTGCCATGCACATGCACATCTCCTCACGTGCCATACACATGCAGATCTCTCACCTTATCCGAGTCCACCTCGATGATCTGCTCCAGCTCCCTCCATCCAGCATGTCCTCATTCGCGAGGGTACCTGTGTCTGCGTCTGCTTGTATCTCAACACCCTCCATCAAGACCCCATGCACATGCAGATCTCTCACCTTATCCGTGTCCACCTCCTCGATGATCTGCTCCAGCTCCCCCGGCTCCAGCATGTCCTCATTCGCCAGCGCGTCCCTCAGCTCGCTCACAGTGATGAACCTGCCACGGGGGTGGTGGTGCACGGGGGAATGTATGTAACCACTGGATGGTAACCAGCATGTCCTCATTCGCCAGGGCGTCCTCAGCTCGCTCACTGTGATGAAACTGCCATGGGATGGTGGTGGGAATATAGGAGGGAATGTAGAGAATGTAACCACCGGGTGGAACCACAAACCTGGTGTTCCAGTCGCCAGGGCGTCCCTCAGCTCGCTCACCATGATGAACCTGCCATGGGGGTGGTGGTAGTGAACGTGTAACACAGTACTCAGTATGTAACTATTAGGTGGTAACCATCAGGCAACCTGGTGCCCTGCATTCGCCAGGGCGTCTCTCAGCTCGCTCAGAGTGATGAACCTGCCGTGGGGGTGGTGGTAGTGAACGTGTAACACAGTACTCAGTATGTAACTAATAGGTGGTAACCATCAAACAACCTGATGCCCTGCATTCGCCAGGGCGTCCCTCAGCTCGCTCACAGTTATGAACCTGCCATGGGGGTGGTGGTCGTGACGTGTAACATAGTGCATGCAGTATGTAACCACCGGGTGGTAACCAGCTACCCAGTGCACTTCATTCGCCAAGGTGCCCATCAGCTAGCTCACAGTGACGAACCTGCCATGGGTATGGTGATAAGAGGGAGTTCCAAGATGTAACATGCGATGGTGGTCACAGTGACCCCTGTGGTCAGCGCTTTGATGCACCATCTCGTTTTACAGTTACAGGCTCATTTCTCTCTGCGCTTATGCTATGCTGGCCCCAACACCTCCCCTGTGACCCGCAGCGGTCCCTGTGAAAATGCTGAAACAATATCTACTTCACCTCAAATGTCATCTGAATCTCACCCCATCCCCTCTTCTCTCACCCGCTGCGGTCGCGGTCGAAGTGCTGGAAGGCCCTCCAGATGTGCTCCTCCTTCTCCACCTTGTTCATCTGCATCGTGGCTGTGATGAACTCCGTGTAGTCAATGGTGCCGCTGCGATCCACGTCCGCCTGAAAAAAGCAGACCAGGGGAGAAGGAACGGGAGGGATGGGGTGTTTGAGATGACCTGGAAGGCTGCTGCAAGGGATGTGCTCCTCCTTCTCCACCTTGTTCATCTGCATCGTGGCTGTGACGAACTCCGTGTAGTCGATGGTGCTGCTGCGGTCCACGTCTGCCTAGTGATTGGGGCAGAGGGGCAGACGGGCATGCACAGACGGGTGAGGGATGTTGTGTTTGCAGTGTTTAAAGGGCTGGGCTGGGAAGGAGTGTGCTCCTCCATATGTGCTCCTCCCCCTCCTCCTTCTCCACCTTGTTCATCTGCATCGTGGCCGTGACGAACTCAGTGTAGTCGATTGTGCTGCTGCGGTCCACGTCCGCCTGGGGGGGTTGGAGTGGAGAGCAAGGGATGCGAGCCTGCTTTTGAGTCGACTCAAAAGCAGAATCCGCCTGGGGGGGTTGGAGTGGAGAGCAAGGGATGCGAGCCTTGTCCGAGTGATGAACTCCAATTGGTCAATCGTGCTGCTGAGGTGAGGTCCATGTGCGCCTGGGGGATTGGGGCAGAAAGCAACAATCACACTGGAAAATGGTGAGCTTTTTTTTTAGGCACCTCAAAACTAAACTAGGCTCCCCAAGCTACCAGCTGGCGAACTGTGACATTTGGGGCAGAAAGCAACAATCACACCGGAAAATGGTGAGCTTTTTTTCTTAATACGTACGATGCATTTTCTCCTTGTGGGTTCCCCAGGCTTGAGCTCTGGAAACTGATACGCTGCCTGCCACTCGCATCGCATCCTAGATTTGACTCACCTCAGAAACTGCCGCCGCGTGACGTGAGAGAAGTCTAGTTGTGAGGCGCCTAGTCATGAGTCACCTCAAAGCTTTCTCGAACAACCAGGCGCCTCACAAAAATGTCATGCTCCAAAAAATGTTATGCTGCCACTCGCAGCCTTGTCCATCCCATCTTCCTTCCTTTTCTCACTACAACCCCCAGCCTCCCTCTCTCTCACCGCCTACATGATCTCGTGCAGCTGTTCCTCCGACATCGGGTTGCCCAGCTTCTGCAAACCCTGCTTTCTTTCCCTTACTGACATAGATGATGCATCCCCTTCCCTCACCACCTCCATGATCCCGTGCAGCTATTCCTCCAACATCGGGTTGCCCAGCTTCTTCATGCCCTGCTTGCTGCCCCTCACGGGACTTACAAACTCACCCCACCACCCCTCCCGATAGAACCCTCAAACCCCCCCCCCCCCCCCCTTACCGTCTCCATGATCTCATGCAGCTGCTCCTCCGACATGGGGTTGCCCAGCTTCTTCATGCCCTGCTTGCCAGCTGTTCCCCCTGCCCCCTCCCCGTGTCAGGTACGGAGGTGCCTCACAAGTTGTCAAACACTCTTCTCTCTTTCCTCCCCCCCCCCTCTCCCCCCTTTCCCTCTCTTACTGCCTCCAAATTTCGTGCAGCTGCTTTTTCGGCATGGGGTTGCCCAGCTTCTTCATGCCCTGTTTTCTTTCCCTTAATGACATATATGATACCTCCCCTTCTCTTACCGTCTCCATGATCTCGTGCAGCTGTTCCTCCGACATGGGGTTGCCCAGCTTCTTATGTGCTAGCTAACTTCCCCCTCTCCCCTGTGCTCCAATTCTAAGGCGCCTTACAAGCTGTAGAAACTCCTCTCTCTACCCCCCCGTTTCTTACCGCCTCCATGATCTCGTGCAGCTGTTCCTCCGACATGGGGTTGCCCAGCTTCTTCATGCCCTGCTTGAGCTCCGCGAATGTGATGCTGCCGCTGCCGTCCTTGTCCATCCCCTTGAACAGCTTCTTCAACCCCAGGATCTCCTCCCTGCTGAGGTTGCATGCAATGACCTGGAACAGGGAGCCGAGGGAGGGGTGGGGGAAGGGCGGGAGGGGAGGGGAGGAAGGGAAGGAACAGAATGTGATGCTGCCACTGCCGTCCTTGTTTAGCTGAGTCGCGAGGAAATCCTGGGGCTGAAGAAGCTGTTCAAGGTGTTTAGCTGAAAGCATCTTTTAAAGACGCCAAGCCTCTCACCTTGAGCGCGAGCTTCTTCATCTTGTTGGCAGCGGAGAAGTTTTTGATTCGCTTCAGCACCGCCTCTCCCAGCGGGCGGTCGGACTGCTTCTCATGCGACAGCCACGGGTGGCCTGAGGCAAGAGGGGAAGGTAGCGGAACATCGGGGGGGAAAGAGGGGGGGGGGGGGAGGGAGGAGGGAGGGGGGGGATAGGGTTGGGGGAAATAAGGGCAATGATTCAGGGGAAGCGTTCAGCGGCGGCCGATTACTCTACTTTTCAATGGTGTTCCCTGAACCCGTATCCCTCACTTTGTTCTCGTCCACTCGCTCTCACGCAGCACTTCAGCCGATGTGATGTGCTTGGTGGGGCCGGGCCGGGGTGAAGCATGCGCTTCACAAGGCCCGTGGCTTGCCTATCATTAATCCAAATGCCATGCCACTCCACTTACGCAGCACTTCAGCAGACGTTAATCCTCTTGGAGGGGTTGGGTCGGGGTGCAGCATGTGCCAGACGAGGTCCTTGGCAGAGACTGACACGTTGGGCCAGGGGTTGTGACTCGTTCGTGACCCAACATTTCAAGACCACGCCTGCCCAGATCTACTCACGCAAGACTTCAGCAGACGTGATCCGCTTGGAGGGGTCGGGGTGCAGCACGCGCTTGACGAGGTCCTTGGCGGTGTCTGACACGTCGGGTCAGGGGTCGTGAGTCGTGACTCGTGACCCAGCATTTCCAGATCACCCATCTGCCATGTTCGTTCTTACAAGACTTCAAGACTTCAGGCACTCACGCAGCACTTCAGCGGATGTAATCCTCTTGGAGGGGTCGGGGTGCAGCATGCGCTTGACAAGGTCCTTGGCGGTGTCTGACACGTTGGGCCAGGGGTCAGCAGTGAAGTCGGCGTTGGCCCGCAGCACCTGGTTGAAGATCTGCTTCTCCGTGTCTGTTGGGGCGAAGGAAAAGGGGGGAGGGAGGAGGAGGGAGGGAGGAGGGGAGAGCAGTCAGCACAGGGAGATAACAGGGAGGGGAGGGAGTGGGGTCCACGGAGAGTTCAGCGTTGGGCCCCAGCACCTGGTTGAAGATCTGCTTCTCCGTGTCAATTTTTTTGGGGGAGGGGGAGGGAGGGGGGAGGGAACTAGTGGGGGCGTTGGTAGGGACGCGGGGAACAGGGGGGGCCGGGAGGGGAATAGAGGAGGGCGGGGGAAACACAGAGCACATGGAGATGAGGGGGAAGGTAGGGCCAGGGGTCCGCTGAGAAGTCAGCGTTGGCCTGGCCCTCAACACCTGGTGGGAGATCTGCTACTCCATGGCTGCGGGAGGGGGAGCAAGAAGGGGGAGGGGAGAGGTGAAACCGAGAAGGGCGCAGGAAAAATGTGGGGGAGGAAGGAGGGCTTGTCTCTGTTGACAAGTCAGCATTGGCCCTCATCAGCTTGTGGTGGGGCATTCAAGGGCTCAGCAAACCACTCACCTTCCCAAAACGGTGGCGTGCCACTGAGCAGGATATACAGAATCATGCCACAGCTCCACACGCCGCACGCCTTGTCATACTGTCATACCGCCCCTTGTCATACTGTCATACCGCCCCTTGTCATACTGTCATACCGCCCCTTGAGCACCTCCCAGCAGCAGGGCGCATGCCAATCAGCAACTCACCTCCCCAAAAGGGTGCATGCCATTCAGCACCTACTCACCTCCCCAGAAGGGCGGCGTGCCACTGAGCAGAATATACAGAATCACGCCACAGCTCCACACGTCGCACGCCTTGTCATACCGCCCCTTGAGCACCTCCGGCGCCACATAAAACGCGCTCCCCACCGTCTCAGAAAACACCTCCCCCTCCTTGAAAAACGACGAGAGCCCGAAATCCGCCACCTTGAGCGGCGCATCTTCCCTCTTGTCCGCGAGGAGAAAGTTCTCGGGCTTTAAGTCTCGGTGAACGACATTGTTCTGGTGGCAGTGGTCCACCACCCCCATCATGGTCTTGAAGAGGGAGGACGCTGCGCGCTCACTGTAGTGCCCCCGGGCGGCGATCCGGTCGAAGAGTTCGCCGCCCGCGCAGAGCTCCATGACGATGTGCACGTTGTGCTTGTCCTCGAAGGCGCCCCTCAGCTGCACGATGTGCGGATGCCCGCCCAGATGGTGCATGATAGCAATCTCCTTCCTGGGGTTGAGGGGGGGGGGGGGGGAGGAGGAGGGGATGGAGAGGAAAGGGAGGCAGAAAAGGGGGAGACAGGATAGGTAGGGGAGGAGGAAACAGGGTGGGTGGGCCCGGTGTGTGTTGAGTTGCCGGGAGATCACTGCGCCTGCGCAGAGCTCCATGACGATGTGCACGTTGTGCTTGTCCTCGGAGGCGCCCCTCAGCTGCACGATGTGGGGATGCCCGCCCAGGTGGTGCATGATGGCAATCTCCTTCCTGGGAGGAGCCGATAAGGAAGGACGGAAGGAATGGGGGGGGGGGGGGGGGTATGATTAACGTTGTGCTTGTCCTCGAAGGCGCCGCACAGCTGCACGATGTGGGGATGGCCCCCCAGGTGATGCATTATCGCAATCTCCTTCCTGGGAAGAGGAGGTGGGGTGGGAGGAGGGAAAGCTGAGAGCTCCATGACGATGTGCACGTTGTGCTTGCCCTCAAAGGCGCCCTCAGCTGCACGATGTGGGGGTGCCCACCCAGGTGATGCGTGATGGCTATTTCCTTCCTGGGAGGACAGGGGAGGAGACAAAATGTGCAATGTGCAGTGTCTCCCTGAGTTGTGATGTGCAATGTCCAACAGATCCAATGTCCAGCATGCACATCCTTTACTCACCTGGTATCCCACATGCAATGTCTAGAATGCAGCAAGCATTATTCCCACGACAGATGTCCTCAACCTCCTTCCTGGACGACAAATTGACATTTGAATCCGACCCAGAACTCTCCAGCATGCAACACCCACGAACAACTAACATGATGCCAATATGCAATGTCCAGCACTCAGCCAGCGTTGCACCCGCACCTGATTTCCTCGACCTCCTCCTTGGACGCGATCCGCCGCTTCGCGAGCGACTTGCACGCGAGCTGCTCGCCGGAGGCCTTGTCAGTGCACAGGTACGTCACGCCGAACTGCCCCTTGCCCAGCGCAGCTCCTTCCCCAGCAGGAACTTACCCCCCTCCCTCCCTCCCCATGTCCTGCAAGCAAACTCCACCGTCCATCGTCCAGCATACATTGTCCAACGACCAATGCCTGGCATATGCAATCTCAACCGTCAAAATGTCCAGCATCCTTCCCGCACATCTCACCCCATCTCACCCACCTGATATCCTCCACCTCCTCCTTGGACGCGATCCGCCGCTTCGCGAGCGACTTGCACGCGAGCTGCTCGCCGGTGGCCTTGTCCGTGCACAGGTACGTCACGCCGAACTGCCCCTTGCCCAGCTCCTTGCCCAGCAGGAACTTGTCGCGGATGTCCGACGGCGGCCGGCCCAGAATGTTGGCCGTCAACGAGCTTCGGCTAGAGCGGAGAAACATTGTGACAAAGCTTTTATCCCCTTTTATCGAGCAGTGGATTAACGCGTTTTTTCTACGTCGCCGTTGTCGCGCGTTTGGATTCTGAATAGGTCTCAGACCAGGAGTGGTGATCTGGTTCGAAAAAATAGGCTGGCGGAATGAAGATAAGCCCAATGTCAGGGACTTGACACCTGCGGGAGACGGGAAAAGAATGCGAGAATGAGCGGAGGAGCTAGCGGCATTCCCAATGGACGACAGTCGTTGACTTCTATTTTAAGATCCTTGGTAAGGCCAAGGATCAAAATCACCTGATGCGACCTGAAAAAAAAAAAAGCTGGAATTTAGGTTACAGTTACTGAAGCGATGTAAGAAACTAGGAGACAGCACGAAGAGTAATTTAATAGGCCTTTTGAAGTGGTGACTGGGGAGCTGATCGTGCTAGCGGCATTGTCCCGTCCCGATGTCGTCTCATTGGCTCAAATCGATCTCCGTTTATCAATGTGGTCAATTTTCCGGCAGTTAGTCACGCATTGCTACGTACAAGTAGTACGAGACTGAAAGCCACGCGCCGCCGACTTCGCACGAAGAGCAACCAGCTGCTCTTCACAAGCTGGGGGTTGCTGGGCCGGAAATGTCAGAAGATAAAGGCTTGAAGCTTCGCAAATGTAGGCAATGGCCACACCTCCCAGCAGATGTTGGGAGTGAGTGAAAATAGGCCTGGGAGCGAAAATGCTAGGCTTGTGGTCACAGATATGGAGGGGTTCCAAGTTCCAACTTTCAAGAACCATAGCCAGGAGCAGAAATGTCACGCCCAGGAGGAGGTGCCAGGCTGCCAACCCCTCGCCGCACTGTATCACGCAAATTTCTGACGACATCACACAAGAGCGTACCGCAACGTCTTCAACCTCTCTGAACCTCGCTCCTGTATGCGGAATTGTAAGTCGAGTTGAAGTTCTGTTGGGTTGATGTGATGATTCGGAGGCAATGGTCGGTGAAGGGGGCAATAGAGGGGTGGAGAGGGATGGTTGACCATGACAGACTCTCACTGGCCGGCCAATGGGGGGCAGCGCCAGCACCCAGCCGTGGGAGAAAGCCCTTGTTGCAGCAGGGCTACAAACCGCGTCACATTCAACTACTGTACAGTTGTCGGCCAGGTCTACTGGATAAGCTCATCAGTCTTCCCTTTAAATAATGGTATTAGAAGTAGTTACCCCCAGCAGGGCTGTCGCACGGATGCCACTCAGTAGACCCTTGCACGACCTGGAAAATCGAGTGGGTTTTGTAGTTGCGGATATTTCACGAAACACTTTCTACTTCAAAATTGTGTAAAGCAGAGGGGGGCACGTGGAGCACACGGGTGCCCTTTCCCTGAAAATACTGTAATCCGCTCAGCAGCAGATTTCGAGGGAAAATTTCTGCCGCGGACTGTCCACGAAACTTTTCATACTTTCGTGGACAAGCCCTACTTTCATGGACACCACATCAAAGTTTTGCTTCTCCTGTGGACTCCGTCAATACTTTCGTGGACTCCCGGCTTACTTCCATGGACACACCCATATTCGCAGTTAAAAAGGAGTACTCAGCAATGTACAAGTGATTACGGGCACAAAAATCGAGATACTCCAGAATATCTGTCCGTCGCAAGTAATCGCGAGCTACAGTGTCGGAAACCAGTTCTGAAACAGAATCTCGGAGCTTTTCTGGAAAGAGTTTGCAGCCGCACTCAAATATGCAGTGAATTTTCGAAAACAGGGTGTATTAGGGTCCGCGTGGTAAAAACACTTATTATTCAACTCAGAGCTACCCAACAAAACATAATATGCACGTGCTTGACGAGCCAGCATCAACCAGCAGTTGTTTTCTCCTTCATAATAAATAATTTCATTATTAGTAATTCTGTGAAAAAAAACACCTAAGAAATATAATTTTTAGAATCACTTGTTTTAATTTGCATTAGTATGTTTCTCGTTCAAAAATAAAAAAACATATTCCCAAAAACGTGAATCTAAAATAGTTGTATCATTTTCTCATCTATTATTATTTTACTATATACCGAAAGTTTAATAATAATACAATCAAGACGTGAAACCTTCCATTTATATAGTCATGTTCACCAAACGTTATTGGTATTCTGAGATTTCACATCTTAGTTGAAAATGCAAGCCAAATACTAGTTGAAATATTTGTAAATGCCAGAATTCATGGTATTCCTGATTCTTGGTAGGCAGAGATTTTTAATGAGCTCTATTAATCTTGTAAGCGTAATATCTATCTTTATTCTACAACGTGATTTTATTGTAGCGATATTTCACCAGGTCGGTCTGCTACACTTATCGTTCAACTAAAAGCGCTTCGTGACAGTCATTCAAATGAATTTTGAGGATCGCTTCAGAGTTTCTTTAAACACGCGAAACAGCTAGCGGACTTGGTGGCTTGAAAATACTGTAGCTTGCGACTATTTGCGAGGGACTTGATTACGCCTAATTTTGCTTTTTTTCTCCTGTCAGCATCTGTACAGTTCTGTATGTTTTTTTTGTTTCAAACTCGCGTGTGTCCATGGAAGTAAGCCTGGAGTCCACGAAAGTATTGACGGAGTCCACGGGAGATGTGAAAGTTTGATGTGGTGTCCATGAAAGTAGGGCCTGTCCACGAAAGTATGAAAAGTTTCGTGGACAGTCCGCGGCAGCAATTTTCCCAGATTTCGATGTTACCCAATTCACACTTCGATTGTAGCCCAATTCGTGGAATTAAAAAAAAAAAAAAAAAAAAAAAAAAAAAAAAAAAACAAACAAACAAACAAAAAAACACGCGATTGTTGAGGGATTTTAGCTTCACCTTTTCTTACCGTGGACTGCAAAGAAAGAGTTTTGCTGCTTTCCCAGTGATAAGTGACAACCGAAACAGCTCTTGACGAAACACCTTACATCCTCGCTGCTGAAGTACTCGACTCGGTAAGAAAACTGTCAACACAAGTAAACGGCAGAATCTAGGGCTCTTTCAGTGGGATTTATTGAACTGCAGAATCATCAGCCTCCTTGGTTCCCCAGCGGCGGTAGCTGGTTCCGCGTCTCGTCAGATGCCAGTCACCTACGAGACACACAGCATCCATCTCTCGAAGGAATCCCGCCATAGTCTATCAGCATCGCGCGCGCCAAAGCCACTTGAGTTCCCTTCCGAGCCACTTCCGAGCCACTTCCGGACCGAGCGTCCGTGCGTTCCGTAGCTGACGGCGTCCGCGTGCGATCCTTAGCGAACGGCATCTCTGTACACAGGCTCTCTTCTTGCTGCTGCTCGCTAGCTCGGCGCGGACGCAATGCCGCTAGGGTTGGAGCTAGTGGGCCGCGCCGTGATGCGACGAGCGCGACGAGGGCTGTTCGCCGGCAAGGAGGTTAAGTTCGGGAACAAAGTCAGCGAGGACGGCGGGAATAAGTGAGTCAGCAGTGACAAGGCAGTGAGGGTAGGGTAGCGCGCACAGATCGTGAGGTGGTAGACAAGTGAGTGTGGCAGTACAAGAGCGCGGCGAAGGCTGATCGCGGGCAAGGAGGTCAAGTTCGGCAACAAAGTCAGCGAGGACGGCGGGAATAAGTGAGTCAGTTGCGTTCTTACCCGGTTGCATTCTCCCCAGTTGCGTCCCTCCTCTGCCCTTTGCGGTCTTGGAGGTCAAGTTCGGGAACCAAGTCAGAGAGGACGGCGGGAATAAGTAATCCAGTCGTATTCTGGTCCAGTTGCGCCCTTCCCCTAGTCGTCACTGACAAGGAGAGGTCAAACCCCTCTACAGCGTCGCTGTTGGCAGGTATCTTTGACCATCCCTTCGTCTCACTCACTCACCCTCCCATCATACCCGTCCGTCCTATCACCTCTCCACCCCCCAACCACCGCATGTGGCGTCCCTGATGGAACCCACATCGTGTGGTGCAAGCGCCTCTACAGCCTCCCCCTTTTGAGGCGCCTCAAAAGCCGACCACCCAGAGCACAGCACACCGCATGTGGCGTCCCTGATGGAACCCACATCGTGTGGTGCAAGCGCCTCTACAGCCTCCCCCTTTTGAGGCGCCTCAAAAGCCGACCACCCAGAGCACAGCACACCGCATGTGGCGTCCCTGATGGAACCCACAACGCCTGGTGCAAGCGCCTCTACAGCCTCCCCCTTGATAAAATCATGCCATGCCTTCTCACCTTCTCCGTCGCCCGATCTTTTATCTTCCTCCCTCCCCTCACCGTGCAGAACATGCCGCATGTGGAAGCCCAACGTGCAGTACAAGCGCCTCTACAGCTTCGCCCTTGATAGAGCACATCCACTTCTGTGCTGGCACGTGGTTTCACGCTCTCACCCTCCCTCCCCCACCACCCAGAACACGCCGCATGTGGAAGCCCAACGTGCAGTACAAGCGCCTCTACAGCTTCGCCCTTGACAAATTTATCCAGTTCCGGGTTACAACATATGCCCTGCGCTGCATAGACAAGGTGGGCGGCATCGACGAGTATCTTCTGCACACACCGGAAAAGAAACTAGATTCGGATGTGGGCCTGGTTTGGAAAGGAAGGATCCAGGAAGCGCTCCGTGCCCAGTCTGCAAACGCTGGTTCTGCTGCTGCTGGGACTGTTCCAGCTGCTGGTAGCAGTTAGATGAGCTTGGATGGATGGAGCTGGCAACTTAATTAAATTCTAAAAACCCTAACACAACCTTTTTTTCCAGCTGCTGGTAGCAGTTAGTTGGGCCGGGAAGGAGCTGGCAATTTAGACAAAGGCATGATACCATACAAGTAGTACTCTTGCTTTGGGCTTGACTACTGTGCTGGGAAGGTAGGGACAGACATCCCCGTGCCAACCACATCACTGGGTAGGTGGGGACAGGGAGGGTAGGAAACTGTATTGGTAGTTTCCATTTCTTTAGTGTTCAGCTTCTTTGCGACAACAGCTTGTTCTGTTAGTCCGTCAGGGGGGCCTTGTTCATTATGGCTTTGGTTGAACTGGTTTGAGTACAGGCTGAACTGAACAGTTTCACCCACAACAGCGAGCACTATACACTGTACAGAGGCTGTGCATATGGCAGCAGAGTAGCTGAGTGCAAATCCGTGCTGCGACTAGAACCACCTTTGCTGCTAGAGGCTGGTACAGAGAGAGGTACCAAGAAATCACCACATGATCGCATGATGTGCCAAGAAATACTGGCGGGGCAGCACAGTGCTTGTGACAAATCAGCACCCCTTCATGGTATTTGATCAGCCGCGGTGGTCCAATGGAAAGGAGACGAGGGAGGAGGAGCGGAAATAGGTTGCTCGGGCCCAGGGGTTAATACAGCGCAGCAGCGCAGTGCTTGTGTCGGCCTAGCACCCCCTCGTGGTACTTGATCAGCCGCTGACGATCTGTAGAAGAGGAGGTGGGAGGCGCCGGGCATGGTGTAGGAGAGAAGAGGGTGCAGGAGCAGCATAGGCGGCTGCGGCTGCTGCTGCTGCTGCTGCTGCTGCTGCTGCTGCTAGGGGCTAGTACAGTGCAGCAGCGCAGTGCTTGTGTCGGCCCAGCACCCCCTCATGGTACTTGATAAGCCGCTGCCGGTCCGGAGAGGAGAGGATGAGCCGAGGGGAGATGGGGAGGCGAGGGGCCTGCTCTAGCAGAAAGGAGAAGAGGGTCGAGGAGCGAGCATAGGCTGCTGCTGCCGATGCCATGTTGCCCATGAGCTCTTCGACCTGTAGGAACAAGAAGGGAAGGGAGGAAAAGATTGAACACGGGGCAGGGTGTGATTCAGTACAATGGAAGAGGGTGGCAGAGTGAGCAGTGGCTGCTGCTGCCGATGCCATGTTGCCCATTAGCTCTTCGTCCCAGAAAAAACAGAAAATGGAGGTGAGGAACAAGCATAGGCTCCTCAGGCTGCTGCTGCTGCTGCTGCTGATGCACTGCTTCCCATTCGCTCCTAGGGAAAAAAACAGAAAGGAGGGCAAGGAAGAATGTAAAAGGGGAGCAGGGCGGCCATGCTTAAAAAAAGGGAGAAGAGGGTCGAGGACCAAGCATAGGCTGCTGCTGCTGCTGCTGCTGCTGCAGAGGGAAAGTGGGGCTCACAGCGGCGGAGCAACCAACGATGAGGGTGGTTTGAAATATGATCCCCAGAGGAGGAGAGTGTGAGCTAGAGGTGCAGAGCAAGGGCAGAAAGGAGACAAGAGAGGGGAAGAGAGAAAGAGGGAGAGAGAGAGAGAGGGAGAGAGAGAGGGAACGAGGAACTTACAGCAGCGGAGCGACCAGCGATGAGGGCGGTTTGGAATATGATCTCCAAAGCATCAGGCACCGGTGATGGGTCTGACATGGGGTGGAAGGGAGGGAGTGAGGGAAGAGACAGGGTGATGAAACATGCAATTGTGGAAAGAGGGAGCGAGATAAAGGATGTTTCATTAACACGACTTAACCCAAGGTTTATGGGTCTGATAATCCCACATCACACCGGAGGTGATTTTGAGAATTCTCAAAAATCACCTCCCACATCATACCCATCCTCAACCTCTCAATCAACCATGTAAAGCCCCTTCCATCATGCATCATCCCTTTCAAACAACGTGTGTGCAGTCATCATCTACCCCCAAACATACAGAAAACATGATAACTTGATAAGTCATTCACCCATACCGCACAAACCATCTCTGTCAACGGCGGCAGCCATCTCTGCGGGAATGTGTCTGAGGAGAGATGGCATGTGATGTGGAGTGGAGGAGGCTTAGTCAACGGCAGCAGCAACAGCTTCAACTCTCTCCGCCGCAGCTAGGAACTAAGCCTCCACCACATCACATGCCATCTCTCCTTATACACATTACCACAGCCACCCACCCACCCAACCACCCACCTATACGTGTACATACACACTTACCGTCTCTGTCAACCGCCGCCGCTACAGCTTCAGCTGTCTCCACAGCAGCAAGGAATTCAGCCTCCACCACATCACATGCCCTTGCTGCTCATGAGACCCTATACCCCATCCGTCACACACACATACCGTCTCTGTCGACAGCAGCAGCAACAGCCTCGGCTGTCTCCACAGCAGCAAGGAATTCAGCCTCCACCACATCACATGCCATTGCTGCTGCAGCCTCTTCCCCCCCTCCATGCAACCCCACGTTTCCATCCTTGTAAGAACCCACATGACCAGTGGGAAAGAGCCCTTTTGGGTTGTCAGCAACAGTAACGCCGGTAGCAATGGCACCACTGGTAGCGCTGGTGGCAGCCCATTCGTGCGAGAGAGTGAGAGCCTCTTTCCACACTGCAAGGGCGACCAGGTGGAGGGAGAGCGAGGCGAGCGGTGCTGCTGCCTCCATCTGGGATCGAGGGGGGGCGGAGGAAATGGCACAGAGAGGAAACGACCATTCGCGGGAGAGAGGGTGAGTGAGTGCGTCTTTCCACACTGCAAGGGCGGCGAGGCGTGGGGAGGAGAGAGAGGCGAGCGGCGCTGCTGTTTCCATCTGGGAAAGGGACAAAGGGGTGAATCATGGAGGAGTTAAAAGGGAGGAAATGGACATTCGTGGGAGAGAGTGAGCGCCTCCTTCCACACTGCAAGGGCAACGAGTGGTGTTGTTGTGGGGGGAGCGAGGCCAGCGGTGCTGCTGTTTCTTGCTGGGGGAGGCCATGTGAATGAGATCCACATGGGGCAGCAGGTAAATGAGATCCCAGGGATGATTCTTGAGCAGACAAAAAAAATCCCCCCTCACATTCGCAAGGTTGGGGGAAACGTAGCACGTAAATGAGATCCCAGGGATGATTTTTGAGCAGACTAAAAAATCTCTCTCGGCAGGGAAACGTAGCACGCAAGTGAGATCCCAGGGATCGTCACTCATTTGGAAAAGAGCAGCAGCGTGGAACTTCTGTGAGCAGCAGAAAGGGCAAACGGAGACGCAGGGAGGGCAAACGGAGACGAGTTGGTTGAGGCATTGGTGCAATCAAAAACATTGGTGCAGTGCCAATTGTTAAAACAACAATCAAAAACTGCACTGAATGGGTTGAGGCAAACACTGCACTCACCTTGCTGGCAGCGGCGGAGTCATTTTTCAGAATTCTAAAAACAAAGATTGGCAAGTGGTCTGACTGGATTGACGCAAACACTGCTCTCACCTTGCTGGCAGCGATCTCTGCAATGTAGCGCCCGCTCTGCCTGAGGAAATCTATGCGCTCCTGGGGATGCTGAACCGCCACCTTCTGCTGCTGCTGCTGCTGCTGCTGTTCTTCCCGTACCAGCTGTGGCGGTCGCATTCCCCCCACAGCCGACAGAACATTCACACCCATCCCTCCCCCCCGGTCGGCCCCTGCAGCTGCCGCAGCAGCAGACCCAGCAGCTATGGGTGACACTTCAGATGCAGTGACCCCAGAAGGAGCAGTAGCATTGGCAGTGGCAGCAGCAATGCCGCTAAGGCCGACTGTGCGAGGTGCACTGAGGCTCACGGCCAGAGCCAAGCCGGATCGAGCAAGGGATGGTGGGGTGTGGGACGGTGCACTGGTGGGAAGCCGTGGGCTGGGAACCGAAGGGTGAAGAGATTCAGGCCCTGGCGGTGCTTGAGAAGGATGGGCAGAAAAGCCTGTAGATACTACCTTCGGCCTAAACCCTGATACTTTCACTAGGGGAGCTGCTGGTGGTGCTGAAACTACTGGTGACTGTACAGATGGTGATTGTAACGAGTGTGGCTGTGCAGCAAGTGACTTTACAGAGGGGGACTGTACAGAGAGTGACTGTGTATGTGCAGAGGTATTTACATGAGGTGGTGGTGGTGCTGGGAGGTGGTGAGGGGGCGCGGAATACAAAGCTGGAGAATCCACAGGAGGGATCAAAGGGGTGCTGGGAACAAAACCGGCTGTAGCAGCAGCAGCAGCTGTAGCTGTAGCAACAGCAGTGGGATCCCTCTTCGTAGCTGCGAAATGCGCGGCCGGCTTGGCTGTAGCTGAGGCTGCTGCTACAGCCGCTCCCACAACAGCAGACAGAGCAGCTGCTGCAGCAACGGCACCAGGGAATGTGGAGGCAGATCCTGGTGGCTTCATCATGTAGTGAGATGATTCAGTGGGTACAGGCTGGGTGGTGGACTGGCCGAGAGATGCGTCGACAGAGTGGTCGACGGACAGAGACGGTTCGGATGGGTGGTCTACTACCACATAATCCCCCTCGAGCATCTCGAATGAGTCCATACCACCTGGGAGAAGGAGACGAGAGGAAGAGGGAGAACAGGTAGTGAGGCTTCACTCGGCACAAGAGACAGCCACTGACATGGATGACTCATCACCACCCCACAGTCGTTTGGCTCCAGCATCTCAGACGAGTCTGTTCTGCGTGGGAGAAGTCAAGTGAGGCGGGGAAGGGGATGTTTTTTAGAATTCTCAAAAACACCCTAGAATTCTCAACAGCACCCTACAATTCTCAAAAACACCACACAGTGGTTTGACTCCAGCATCTCAAACGATTCTGTTCCGCCTGGGAGAAGTCAAGTTGGGGCGGGGAAGAGGCAAGGGAGGGGAAAAAGATAGCCGTTGCTTTCATTCACATGCTGCTAGGTTGCAGAAAGGTGGGTAGCTAAGTAAACGAAGGGAAGCGGTGCAATGCGATTGCCACACTGACCTCTTTCATCTTCCTTTGAAGGCACCGCTGCAGACACAAATGCTGGTGCCAATGGTGCGACTACCACGGAGAATGGTATGGTAGCTGCCAGTGATGGTCCGGTGATTGGCCCCGGCAACTGTGACTGACAGTGGTGCTGTCTCTGTCGCTGGTGGCGGTACAGCTGCTGACACTCGTGCCGCTCCAGCTGCTCCTCCTGCCACTCCTGCTGCTGCTCCTCCTGCCACTCCTGCTGCTGCTCCTATTGCCCTCTCAGATTCTGACACGAAAGCTGATGGCTTCTGATGGTGTTGCTGCTGCTGCTGTCCCTGCTGTCCCTGCTGCTGCTGCTGCTGCTGCTGCTGCTGTCCCTGCTGTTGCTGTACTTGCACCTCCTGGTGCTGCAGGTGGGTCCGCTGGCCGGGCAACGGCCTGACCTCATGCGCAGTGACTGCACGCGCCGGAAGCAGAGCAGTCCGAGAAGGAGAAGCGACAACTACGGGAGGCAAAGCCGGTGCTGCCACTGCTGTTGAAGTCTCTGCAGATTCTGCCAGTAGTGTCGCTCCTGCTGCTGCCTTTGCAGAAGGAACACCAGCCCTTCCGTCTCCCTCGCCCTCCCTTCCTTCCCCCGACCTTGCTCCTTTCCCTACCCCTCCCCCTGCCCCTCCACCCCTGCCACTGTCAGCAGCCACAGCAACCACACCCCAGGGATCACTATCCTCCTTAAAAGCCTCACCCCTAAGAGCTCCAGTGACAGCACTATCTACAGTGTTATTTTCATCAGCTGAAGCAGGGCTATGGACAGTATGCGCAGTGGGGCCAGGGGGAACGTGGGGAGAAGTGAAGTGATAAGGGGAAGCAGAGGGGGCGGACGAAGGGGAAGCAAGGGCGGTGGGCCGAGCAGAGGGAGGAAGGGAAGGGGGAAGAAGAGTGGGAGCAGGGGCAGGGTCTATGACGGGAGAAGGCACCATTAGGGCGGGTGCAGGAGTCGAAGGGGCGGCATTAGGAGCAGAAGGAGCGGCTACAGCAGCAGCAGGAGGTCTGGTACTCGGTGTCGGAGGTTCGGCAGGGAACGGCGGGGGTTCCATACGGAAGGGTGGACGTTCGGTAGGGAATGGAGGAGTTTCGGGAGTGGGTGGCAGCCCCATAGATTGTGGAATGCTGCAGGAGGGGAGGAGAAGGAGCAGGAGCAGGAGCAGGAGCAAGAGGCAAACACGGAGCTCGCGTCAGCACGTTGCTTGAAAAAAAAAAAAAAAAAAAAAAAAAAAAAAAGGGGGAGGGGACAGGGCGGAACTTCCCTAAGCGTGTGGCACCGGCAAACGGAAAATGGTCGATCCTCAGCCCAGGACTCTCGCCATCGTGAATGGGTCAGAGAGATAGTGTGTGCGTGGCACCCCTGTGCTCATGCGTGAGCGAGTGTGCGTGCGTGCATGAGTGACTGCGTGCATGCGTGCGTGAGCGTGTGTATGAGCACCCCGACTACCTTGCCAGGCCAAGGAACGGGTGGTTAAAGAACTGTTCAAACGACAGCCGCTCCACTGCACACAGAGTGTTTGACTTCTGAAGCGCCTTAAAATGTGTGTGTTTGTGTGTGTGCGAGCATGGGAGCATGTATGAGCGCCCCAACCCGATTACCTTGCCAGGCCAAGGAACGGGTGGTTAAAGAACTGTTCAAACGACAGCCGCTCCACTGCACACAAAGTGTTTGCAACAAGTTCATACGGAAACAGGTAAGGGGAACAAACATTAACACCAGCAGGCGCGAGGAGGAGAGTGTTTTCGAGAATTCTCAAAAACACCCTGCAAAGTGTTTGCAACAAGTTCATACAGAAACAGGTACGGGGAACAAACGTTAACAACAGCAGGCATGAGGAAAGGAGCATGCGCAGCACAGGCGAAGGGCAAAGGAGAGCATAAACCGTGAAGGCTTTGCCCTCAAGACTCAGGTTTATGTTTCTCAGAAGACTGAGACATGATAAGCCATGACACGGAGTGACTTTTGTCACCTCAAAGTCGACTCAAAAGTCACCTCAAGTCTCAGGTTTATGTTTCTCAGAAGACTGAGACATGATAAGCCATGACACGGACGGAATGCAGACTGAGACTCTTAAACGTCGACGTCATTCAGCACGATGCGTAAGCGATTAAGGATCTGAAGATGCTAGGACCTGTGAACGACGATTCTTAAAAAAAAAACGGTGTCCTTCACTAGTAGAGACTCGTTACAACGAAGAAAGCGCTCCAGTAAAGAGGGCAGGACGGAATTCTTAAAATAGGTGCAGACGAGAAGAAACAGGGCGGGAAAATCGGCTCTCACCAGGGCAGGCTCACCAGGGTTCTTCTTGAGCAGAGCGCGGATGAGCCCCAGGCAGTCATCAGAGAGGGTTGCTGCTATGTCGCGAGGCACTCTCGACTCACCAGTGAGTCAGTCGACTAATAGTGCAGCGTGAGTGCATCAAGACATCACTACAGCGTGCATGGTACAACACTGGCTGGCTAACCAGGGTTCTTCTTGAGCAGAGCGCGAATGAGCCCCAGGCAGTCATCAGAGGGTTGCTGGGACAAAGCGCCTAAAACTCTCTCGAGCTTGTGTCTTTTATGCATGCCATACCAAGGTTTTGTGCAAGACTGGCTCACCAGGGTTCCTCTTGAGCAGAGCGCGGATGAGCCCCAGGCAGTCATCAGAGAGGGTTGCTGCTATGTCTCGAGGCACTCTCGCTTCGCTCCTCTTGATGTTCTGCAGCAGCTGTTGGGGTGTAAGGGTGAAAGGAGAGAGACTGAGTGTGCACGTGTGAGAGTATGTTTCTTTGCTATGTCTCAAGGCACTCTCGCCTCGCTCCTTTTAATGTTTTGCAGCAGCTCTTGGGGCGAGGGGTGAGAGGTGAGGGGGGAGAGGTGAGGGTGAGGGGGGAGAGGGGAGGAAGTGTGATGCTTCAAACCCTAAATAGCCCCGCAGCAGCTATGGTCGCAGCAGCTATGGTCGCAGCAGCTATGGTCGCAGCAGCTATAGTCGCAGCAGCTATGGTCGCAGCAGCTATGGTCGCAGCAGCTATGGCCGCAGCAGCTATGGTAACGGCAGAAGGGAATAACAGGAGAGGGTAGAATCAAACGAGAAACGCACAGTCACGTAGACACCGGTTGGACCTAAAACGTGTGTAAACGTGAAAACTACTCACGTGAACGTGGTTTTGCCCGCCAAAAGGGGGCCGCCCCACAACGAGCTCAAAGAGAATGGCGCCCACACTCCAGAGGTCCGCCTGGAGGGGGAGCGAGAAGTGAGTGGGTGGTGAGAGGATGAGGGAGCGGAGAGAGGGGAGAGAAAGCGAAACGATCTCCTCCAACTGCCACGAGCTCAAAGAGGATGGCGCCCACCCACACCTCAGTGGTCCGCCTGGAGAGGTTTGAGGAAAGAGGGGGGGAACGGAAGGAGAAGAGGCAGGAGAGAGTGATTTAGTTTTGAGATGTCTCAAAACTAAACTACTTCACTCTGCCTGGAGAGGTGTGAGATAAGAGGGGGAAACGGAAGGAGAAGAAGGCAGGGCGAGAGTGAGGGGACGGGTGAAAGATCCTTCTTAAAATAGAGGGAAGAACTCTTGACGTCGCTGGATGCTAACGAGGAAAGAACCAACACTAGAAACCTAACCAGCAACAGTGCTGGACGAAATGACATCCATTATCATCACCCTGGCACCAAGGTCACCATCAACCTGGCATCGATAGAACCACCACCCTGGCATCGATAGAACCACTACCCTGGCATCGATAGACTCACCTTCGCATCGTATCGCTGGCACTGCAGAATCTCTGGCGCCATGTACAGGGGCGAGCCGCACAGCGTCTCTGCGAGGCCCTGCGGCTGCAGCGACCTGCCATGGAAGGAGAGAGAGGGGAGAAGGAATAAGGAGAGGACGGACACGGGGAGGGAGAGGGGAGAAGGAATAAGGAGAGGACGGACACGGGGAGGGAGAGACGTAAGAAGAGGAGCAGGGGAGAGGGGGTCGTCTCATCTCTGGAGCCATGTACAGGGGCGAGCCACAGAGTGTCTCTCCCAGCCAGGCCCAAGCGCCCTGCCGTGGGATGAGGACGGCACAAGCGCCTAAAAAGAATAGGAGCAGAGCAACCAATGCTGTAAAAGAAGCAAGGGGTTTGGCTTGGAATTGGGGTTTCGTAGCACTGAAAGGAAAGATACGGTGGTGGCGGAGGGAATTTCGTTCGAAGGTACGACGCATGGGCGAATTACTCTCGTGACTCCCTTGAATTACCTGGCAAATCCAAAGTCGGCAATCTTGAGCACTGCAGCAGACGTGCGCTCAGAAAGTAGAAGATTCTGACGAGGGTTACGGGGGAAGAAACCGTAGAAAGAATATCCGTAAGTTGGCTGACAGAAACACTCTGGAGAAGAGAGTGAGAAGCATGGAAGCCAGCCAGCAGGCTAGCAGAAAAGGTCAATGTAGAACAAGGTCAATGTAGAACAAGATCATAAAGTATAGACCTGCAACGAATCTCGCCTGGGGTTTCAGGTCCCGGTGAATCAGGTTGTTGGCTCGCAGCACCTGCGGCCCCGCCCCCAGCTGGCGCATGAAGTGCCTCCCTCGCCGCTGCCTCCCTGACTGACGGCCCCACTCAACTTAGAACTAGCATTGCTCACCTGGGGTTTCAGGTCCCGGTGAATGAGGTTGTTGGCTCGCAGCACCTGCAGCCCCGCCCCCAGCTGGCGCATGAAGTGCCTCGCTGCAGCCTCCCTCACAGCCCCTCCCCGCCTGATGTGGTGGGAGAGGTCACCCCCGGCACAGTACTCCAACACAAGGAACATGCGAGATGAGGTCTGGGAGTGGGGGGAGAGGGAGGGAGGAGGGAGGGCGGGGGTTGAGTCGTCTCACTCGTTGCAGCCTCCCTCACAGCCCCGCCCTGCCTGATGTGGTGTGAGAGGTCACCCCCGGCCAGTACTCCAAGACCAGGAACATGCGATGCGAGATGACGTCTGGGGGAGAGGGGAGAGGGGGAGAGAAGGAGAGAGGGACAGGAGAAATACTTTAGGAGGCTCAATTCCTGCAGCCTTCTTGCTCACAGCTCCACTGCTCCGCCTGATGCGGTGTGAGAGGTCTAACTGGGCATGGTACTCACGACGAGGAACATGCGAGATGAGGTCTGGATGAGGGGGAGAAGAGAAACGGAAGGTTAGGAGAGGAGTCCTAAGCCAAAGGAGAGGTAGAACGAGCGCAATTCACTTCAGCCTCTTTCACGGCTCCACTGACGCCGCCTGATGCGGTGTGAGAGGTACATGCGAGATGAGGTCTGGGGGAGAGGGAGAGGGGGAGAGTAAGGACGGAGGTACGTCTTGAGGAGGCTCAATTCCTGCAGCCTTACTTGCTCACAGCTCCACTGGCTGCGCCTGATGTGGTGTGAGAGGTCCAACTTGGCACGGCACTCAGGACGAGGAACATGCGAGATGGCGTCTGGGGGAGGGGGAGGAGAGGCAGAAGTATTTTTTAGGCGCCTGAAAAATTGGCACGGTACTCAGGAAGGAGTCGGGGCGAGGAACATGCGAGATGAGGTCTGGGGGAGGGGGAGGAGAGGCAGAAGTGCGGATGAGTGAGTGGGACATGTCAAAGTTGGAATACAACGGTGGATGGGGAAAAGCAGGGAGCGCGTCGACTTAAAACGAAGCAGCAAGGACCAATAAACAGTGCGCTTCGCGGTACCGGCAAAGGCGGTAAGAGGACGAACTAACAATAAGAATCATAAATAGAAATAGTAGAACATGCCAACCGCGCAGCGAACCTTGATGATATCCAGCAGGTGCACGACGTTGGGGTGCCTCGCGCGTCTTGATTCAACTGAAGGCCTCAGAACGCATTAGAAAGCAACGTTTCGTGCTCGGGCGGCGCCACGCACCTTAACGATTTCCAGCAGGTGAACTATGTTGGGGTGCCTCGCGCGCCTTAAAATCGCTTAAGGCACCAGAACACGCTCAGCACGCTCAGGCGATGGTCCTACGGACCTTAACGATATCCAGCAGGTGCACGATGTTGGGATGCCTCGCGCGTCTTAGAATAGCTATCTCCGACTCGAGGCTCTCGTGCAGCTTGCTACTTAATCTCTCCGTCGGAATCTCCTTAATCGCCACCGCGTCGCCAGTCGACCGCCTCCTACCCCGCCACACCACGGAGAACGACCCCGAACCTATCTGCTTCTCTAGAACATAGTCATCCCCCACCAGACGACCGCCTGAGTTTTCGCTTCCGCTTCCGCCTCCGCCTCCGCCTCCGCCTCCGCCGTCTCCGCCGTCTCCGCCAGCCTGTGCGGCCATTCCGCCTACCGCTGCTTCTCCGCCAGCCCTCACGGGAGTCGGAGACGAATCAGGAGGGGTGTCTTGGGGTTGGTGTCCTGCCATGGAGTTTCTACATGCCTTGGTGCAGTCTAGGAGTATGTAGCGAAGCAGCTGATAACGCACGACTGACGGAGTTCGGTGTTCAGTTCGGAATGACACTGCCGTCTAGGAGTGTGGTGTTAGGGTTGCACGCGAACCGTGTGGTAGCTTGTCGTGTGACAACAACGGAGGAGCAAGAGCTCACTAGACTGGAGGCGAGGTGCACGTGTGCTCCTAATCCTGTCGTGAGCAAGCTCTATTGACGATACAGTGTCACAGATTTTGACACGCTACCTACACTCTTGAACAAATCAATCTATCAAGGACGAGACAGCCTATACTGGTTCATTGGCATCAAGGCTGGAAGGTGACGAGACAGGCTGCATCATTGGTCAGTCAATTTCTCATCAGCCAATAGGGTGCATGGGAGGCATAAAGTCTGATGCGAGAGGTCACTTTCGACTTCAGGATGACATCATCAAACAGACATAGCCTGCCTCTCCCTCCATGGACGGTTTCCGTTTCGACCACCTCACTTGGCTCATGTCATCCAACAAACGAGCAGTCGTTAGCATTTTCAAGGGCGTCGCAAAGCCGAAAACTGTCATCAAACTTGTCGCTCACGCAGCTTTGGGAGCCATACCGAAGCCAGAGAAATCTCTCAACCATCAGGGACCGACTAAAGCAACGGGGCGAGACCACGTGGCGACAAGCTGTTTGCCAAGTGATTCAACGGTTACGATGTTCCACACCACAAAGAAAATGCAGGGGAAGAAATGCACTTGAGGAGTACTTATAATTTCGATGTCTATCAATAGTATCGGCTGTAGTACGAATCATAATGAAAAGAATCTGACACTTGTAACATCTCGAGAAGAAATATAGCGGTGGATATTGACACAAGTTCCAAATCGTTTGTAGTGCCTAGCTCATACGAAGTCAAGAAGACACGCCGGAATGTAGGAGGTGGAGAAAGGCAGGTTATCCCATCTGACGGAATCTGTCAGTGGGCCTCCTGAGTAGGGCACACGTTAACAGAGTAATTACCCTGACTTTACTGAATCCAAGGTTTTCTTGAGGCCGACACTGTATTTTCCAGGACGTTTCTCAAGCAGGCCCTGAGAGAATCAGGGGGATTTATCTACCGGCCCGTAGGAGTCCGGGGGAATTTTAAGGGGGCCCAGACGTCTAGTTAGTCACCAGGGGGTGTAGGAATCTGTCACACTCCCCGTCCTTCCTTTTAACCCTTAGCCCCTCTCTGATCTTCCCATCCTACCTTTAGTTTAGCGGTTAGTTTTCAAATGCGGTGCCTGGAACAATTGTTCACGCCACTCAAACTCGCCCCATCCCTCCCACCAAACCCCCTTTCTTCCCAGCCCCCCGGCCTAAATGTAGCACCTTTCATGTGCGTGATTCATCTGCAGCATTGGTGCTGGTGAGGGGGTAGGTTTCCCACCCGAAGTCCCCCACTGGCATCCTCACTATCTTGTCCAGCAAAGATGGGCTAGACGTATTAGGCCTTTTTCAGCACGGATCCTGAAGAATCAGGGTTAGTTTTTTACGAGGACAGATTTTACAGGGTGATTTAACTAGGGGCCCGGATCGTCCGAGATGGCGAAAAAACTAGCGAGAGCCCTGCTCCTGAGAGATCCATCTGTATTCTCTTGGGAATTCACCAGCTATTCACCAGCTTGGGAATATGCTTCCAGTCGCACACCATCACCAGCCATATCATTGGTATCACCCTGACGATTACTCACATGAACGGCTTTATAAGAACCGTGAAGTTGTGAAGCAAGCTGAAGCTCGGTCTGAAACTGTGAGATTGCCATAGTAGCTGTCCGATACGTCAGTTTTGTCCCGCGCTCGCAAAGCACAAGTCTGAACGACTACTTCGCCCGAGTGGTTTTTTCATTGCTCAGATCTGCCAGTAGCAACGCCAATCTCTTACTTCGACGCGCCAGCGAAGCAAATTGTCAGGAAACCGTACACCGTACGAGCAAGCAACGCTAGCGAAGGGGGTTCCTTCGACTCGCTTATCGTACCAAGGATCATGGCGAATCAAAGACAGTATTGCAATTTCCTAGGTTCAGCTGGTCACAACGATGGTAACAACACTTTGCACAGCACTGCTGTTACCAGTAACACAAGCAATCGCCAGACGCCTCGTCGGCCATCAGCCATCGTGATCGGTAGCGGATTCTCCGGACTGGCTGCTGCTCACACGCTGCACAACGCATCGTTCGAGGTGCGACCGCCGTGCGACCTGCGTGCGACTTTCGTGCGACCTTCGTGCGACCTTTCTGCGGCCGTTGTTCAGACACTTGGCTATCATTGAACCTGGCCAAGGTCATATTGCGGCTGACATCCCTGTCTTATGAGCCCTCTCCTCCTCGTTCGGCGATCCTTTCCCTCTTGTCACAAGTGGTGGTGCTCGAGGCAAGGGATCGCATCGGAGGTCGCGAATCTACGAGACGCTCCATCCATCTTTAAGTCAAAACTCTCGTTCCCTCCTCTGTCATAGCTTCTCTCCCTCCTCTTTCATCCATGCACTTACCTCGGCCACAGGTGGTGGTGCTAGAAGCAAGGAATCGCATCGGAGGTCGCGCGTTCACAGACCACTCGTTCGGTTTCCCGCTTGATCTCGGCGCTGCCTGGTGAGCGAAATACCGCATATCGCTGCCTGGTGAGCGAAATACTGCGCATCGCTTCTTGGTAAGCGAATCACTGGCTGTTGTTCCCTGTTGAGTGATCCCTACCGCGCTTTGCTCTTATATGAGTAACCAGCTCCAGCTGCCTGGTGTGCGGCTTTTGCTGCTCTGTGACTGCAGAGTGAGCGACCATGATCGTTCCTGCCTGATGGGCGCCACCTCTCTAGTGGTCCCTCGTATCAATGAGCGACAGGCATACAGATGTTTTTTGAGGCGCCTAAAAAATCGCCCCAAGTGAGCGAGCATGATCGTTGTCCTGCCTGATGGGCGCTACCTCTTTAGTGGTCCCTTGTATCAATGAGCGACAGACATACAGGTTGCGCTACCTCGTGTGTCATGAGTCTATTTTTGAGTCGAATCAACAAAAGACTCATTACACACGCTCCACCTCTTTAGTGGTCCTTTGTATCAATGGGCGACAGACATACAGATTGCGCTGCCTCTCTATCTTTCCCCTGCTTCGCCGTCTCCTCTCTGCCTTTGCCAAATTTCGGCATTTTGCTTCCCCTCCCAGGCTGCACGGTGTGTCCGAAAGCAATCCCCTGACTCGGCTGATTGCGGATCTCCAGCTTCCGCTCTACAGAACCAGTGGAGACGACTCGGTGCTCTACGACCATGACCTGGAGAGGTGGGTACGCTGTATGGTGCTGCATGGTGCTGGCCATGAGTGCTGGGTATGCTTTATGGTGCTGCATGGTGCTGGCCGCGCGTGCTGGGTATGGTGCTGGCCGCATGTGCTGGGTACACTGTATGGTGCTGGATGGTGCTGGCCGCGCGTGCTGGGTACACTGTATGGTGCTGGATGGTGCTGGCTGCGCGTGCTGGGTGAGCTGTGTTGTGAGGGGCCTCGGCAGAGCAAGTTTCACACAAAAAAAAGGGAAGACGACGGCTCTGACCATGACCTGGAGAGGTGGGTAAACTCTCGGGGTGGTGCTGCTTTGAAGAGTTGAATCTGCTGCATAGGATGATGACTTGGTCGTTGTACGCGTTTGCTAAATTGAACCAGCATAGACGCCTCAGTGCGCAAAGACTGTGACCTGTGCTAGTAGATCTGTTTTGAGACGTCTTAAAGCATATTTTCATGTCTTGAACTGGAGCGGTGGGCTGTGATACTTCGCTTCATTGTGAAGGGAACTTGTGTCGGTTTCTCCCCTTTGTTTCTGAATTTTCGGATTACATGCCTGATCGCTGAAATCTTATCTCCTTTCGTCAACCCCTCAACCCGCTGTTGCAGCTATGCGTTGTATGGTGCGGATGGGGTGTTTTGAGACGTCTCAAAACACAATTGCATGCTAATCCCTCCTTCCCCCCCCCGAACCTCCGTTGCAGCTATGCGTTGTATGATGGGGATGGGAAGAAGATCCCGCAGAAAATGGTGGAGAGGGTGGAAAGCGTGTGTAATGAGTCTATTTTTGAGACGTCTCGAGCACAGTTGTATGCTAATCCCCCCGTTCTCCCCCCATCGAACCTCCGTTGCAGCTATGCGTTGTACGATGTGGATGGGAAGAAGATCCCGCAGGAAATGGTGGAGAGGGTGGAAAGCCTTTTTGAAGACATGCTGGAAGAGGTCAGTTCATTCAAATTCGTTGGGTGCGGCAGCTTTTAGGTTAAGTATTCCGTTTTCTAGACTAGCCCCACAGAGCATAGTAGGTGGTAGAGCACAATTTTTGAGGCGCCTCAAAAATAGTTTTCTAGATTAGGCCCACAGAGCATAGTAGGTGGTAGAGCACTAGAGCACCTCGTTCAACATGATCTGGGAAGGTGGCAGAGTCCTTGAAGAGGTGCTTCAATGAGTAGATATGTCCTTCATATGAACATGGACAGACGAGGACACGAGTAGATATGGACATGGAGCGCGCTTTCTTGCTAGTGGGGCAGCTTTCGAGGCACCTCAGACCCCTTTCTCTTTATCATGCCACCACTCCACGCCACCAGACTCGGCAGGTTTGTGCAAAAACAGACGAGGACATCAGCATGGAGCGCGCTTTCTCGCTAGTGGAGCAGCGGCGGCCGGACCTAAGGCTGCAGGGCGTTGAGAGGCGGGTGCTGCAGTGGTACCTGTGCCGCATGGAGGGGTGGTTCGCCACGGATTTGAAGAATCTCTCTGCCAAATGTTGGGAAGAGGTGGGGCACAGAGAAGTGTGCTGGGAGGAGGTCGGTTAGGGGTATGAGGATGCAGAGTTTAAGCTGCAGGCGGTGGCGAAGAAGGTGCTGCAGTGATACCTGCGCCGCATTGAGGGGTGGTTCGCCACTGACTTAAGTACCTCTCGGCAAAATGCTGGGAAGAGGTGGGCAGTAAAGGGTGCTGGTAAGACTTGCTGTCCAGTATGGTAAGACTTGCTGTCCAGTATGGTAAGACTTGCTGTCCAGTATGGTAAGACTTGCTGTCCAGTATGGTAAGACTTGCTGTCCAGTATGGTAAGACTTGCTGTCCAGTATGGTAAGACTTGCTGTCCAGTATGGTAAGACTTGCTGTCCAGTATGGTAAGACTTGCTGTCCAGTATGGTAAGACTTGCTGTCCAGTATGGTAAGACTTGCTGTCCAGTATGGTAAGACTTGCTGTCCAGTATGGTAAGACTTGCTGTCCAGTATGGTAAGACTTGCTGTCCAGTATGGTAAGACTTGCTGTCCAGTATGGTAAGACTTGCTGTCCAGTATGGTAAGACTTGCTGTCCAGTATGGTAAGACTTGCTGTCCAGTATGGTAAGACTTGCTGTCCAGTATGGTAAGACTTGCTGTCCAGTATGGTAAGACTTGCTGTCCAGTATGGTAAGACTTGCTGTCCAGCATGGTAAGACTTGCTGTCCAGTATGGTAAGACTTGCTGTCCAGTATGGTAAGACTTGCTGTCCAGTATGGTAAGACTTGCTGTCCAGTATGGTAAGACTTGCTGTCCAGTATGGTAAGTCTTGCTGTCCAGTATGGTAAGACTTGCTGTCCAGTATGGTAAGTCTTGCTGTCCAGTATGGTAAGACTTGCTGTCCAGTATGGTAAGACTTGCTGTCCAGTATGGTAAGACTTGCTGTCCAGTATGGTAAGACTTGCTGTCCAGTATGGTAAGACTTGCTGTCCAGTATGGTAAGACTTGCTGTCCAGTATGGTAAGACTTGCTGTCCAGTATGGTAAGACTTGCTGTCCAGTATGGTAAGACTTGCTGTCCAGTATGGTAAGACTTGCTGTCCAGTATGGTAAGACTTGCTGTCCAGTATGGTAAGACTTGCTGTCCAGTATGGTAAGACTTGCTGTCCAGCATGGTAAGACTTGCTGTCCAGTATGGTAAGACTTGCTGTCCAGTATGGTAAGACTTGCTGTCCAGTATGGTAAGACTTGCTGTCCAGTATGGTAAGTCTTGCTGTCCAGTATGGTAAGACTTGCTGTCCAGTATGGTAAGTCTTGCTGTCCAGTATGGTAAGACTTGCTGTCCAGTATGGTAAGACTTGCTGTCCAGTATGGTAAGACTTGCTGTCCAGTATGGTAAGACTTGCTGTCCAGTATGGTAAGACTTGCTGTCCAGTATGGTAAGACTTGCTGTACAGTATCCGTCAGTGTAAGATCAGGGTCTAAGGCTCCAGGGGGTGGGAGGAGCGACGAGCGCTGCTGCGGTGGTACCTGTGCTGCATGGAAGGTTGGTTCCCCAATGACTTGAGGAGCCTTCCTGCCAAGTGCTGGGATTTTTTAGTCGACTCAAAAATCGACTGATTACACACCTTCCTGCCAAGTGCTGGGAAGAAATGAGCCAGAGTGAGTCGGAGGGGCTTTGGTTCCCTTTGAAGATTTCTGGAAGGGGTGAGTCGGAGGGGCTTTGGTTCCCCTTGAAGATTTCTGGAAGGGTTGAGTCGGAGGGGCTTTGGTTCCCCTTGAAGATTTCTGGAAGGGGTGAGTCGGAGTGAGGGGGCTGGCTGTTGTTTGATCACACGCTGTTCACTGAATGGGCAGTCGCTGGGGCTGGTGGCTGATCTGCGATGGTGGCACATGTGCTGTCTGTTGCTGATTTGTTCTTCGCTTACGCCATGGTATTTGATAAGTTATGGCTCATTGCTCTTTCATTGATTGATTGAATGGTGCATAATGCTCCATGGGAAGGTTCCATTTCCAAGAGACATTATGAGTTACTATTTGCTAAACTGTTACATTATGTGTTGTGCTTGATTTTGGCCGCAGGAGGACCTAGTGGAGGGAGGCCATGGGCTCATGGTGAATGGGTACCTGCCTGTGCTGGAAAAGCTTGCTGCTGGGCTGGACATTCGATTTAATCACAGGTAAGTCATTGTGGACCCTTGCGGCACAATCTACTCAGTCACACGTAGTGTTTTGGTTTCTAAGCATGAATTATTAGCATTGGATATGATCACAGATACTGATATTATTATCATCAGCATTCCCTCTTTACTATTTCCCATGCATGCTTCCCAACAGAGTGGTCGACATTGACTGGTCCTCAACACAGGATGTCGGCGGATTAGTAGCCAGAGGGGAAGGTGCAGCAGATGCGGTAGGGGCAACAGGGGTAGGGGCAACAGGGGCAGGGGCTATAGGGGTACGGGCGATAGGGCAGCAGGACAGTCACCTATGCAACAGGGCTACAGAGCTGGGTTGTGCGCACTGCGTACCATGTGCGTGTACCAGGTGCAACGGGTGTAGCACATGTGCTGCAGGCAGTAGGCACAGCAGCAGTAGCATATGCAGCACATGCTCCATATGCACCACGTGCACTACGTGCATGACGTGCAGCCCAGTCAATGCTTCCAATACACCCTGTCACATGGCTCAGATTTTTTGTGCCACGAGTGGAGAAGCTGCAGCTGATGTCAGCGTGCCATGCGAAAGACCCCGTGTCCATGTCACCACGGCCGATGGTGCCACCTTCTCCGCTGATGTGGCGATCGTCACGCTGCCAGCTGGCGTTCTGCGGCTGTCTGTAGGCCACGCTGGCAGGCCATCCCAAAAGGGTCTGCTTACTGGAACTCCACAGGATCTCAACAGCAGGAACAGCAGGAGTGATTGCAGAAAAGAGGGCACTACCCACAGTAGAAGCAGCAGCATTAGCAGCAGCAAATCCTACAGCAACCCGACCACCCCACCCTCTCCTCCCCTTAACCCCTCACCCCATCCCCACCCCAACCGCATCCGCTTTTCCCCTCCCCTCCCCCCATCTAAAACCTCTGCCCTCCTCTCCATCGGCGTAGGCATCGAGAACAAGATCGCGCTGCTCTTCCCCTTCTGTTTCTGGCCCTCTGTGGAGTTCCTCGGGGTAGTGGCCGACACTCCCTATGGGTGCAGCTACTTTCTAAATCTGCACAAGGCCAGCAGGGGCGAGAGGGCGGTGCTGGTGTACATGCCGGCCGGGCGGCTGGCTGAGGACATGGAGAGGATGGGGGAGGGGGAGGCAGTGGCGTTCACCATGCTGCAGCTGAGGAAGATCCTGCCCCAAGCTCCTGAACCAGTGAGTGCTTTAACCTGGAACGGCTTTTGTTTGTCACCAGGTTTGTTCTTTGTTGTGAAGAGGGGTGTGTAATGAGCCTATTTCTGAGTCGACTCAAAAATAGACTCATTACACACGGTCCCTACACAAGGTGTGCTGTTAGGGTTGTGAGACGAGCAGGGGTGAATCTGCTTTTGTGTCGACTCAAAAGAAGGGGTGAAGAGGGCGGTGCTGGTGTACATGCCGGCCAGGCGGCTGACTGAGGGCATGGAGAGGATGGGGGAGGGAGAGGCCGTGGCGTTTACCATGCTGCAGCTTAGGGAGATTCTTCCCCAAGCTCTTGATCCGGTGATTGTTCCTGCCTGAAGTGATCTCCTCTGGTCGCCAGGTTTGTTGTTCAAGAGCCTGCTTTCAAGGGGCTTTTGAGTCCACTCAAAAGTCACCTCGTTGTTCAGAAGAGCCTGCTTTCAAGGGCTTTGAATTCGGTGTGCTTGAGGGGCACGAGGCAAGTCATGGGCGAGAGGCCTGTGCTGGTGTGCATGCCTGCAGGGCGGCTGGATGTTTTTGAGGCGCCTAAAAAATGGGCGGCTGGCTGAGGACATGGAGAGGATGGGGGAGGGGGAGGCGGTGGCGGTGGCACTTGCTCACCATGATTTGGTTGAGAAAGATCCTGACCCAAACTCCCGAACCTGTGAACGGTTTTACCTGAGGCGCTAGCTTCGTTCAACCGTGTTGGGACATGGAGAGGATGAAGAAGTGGGATAATGGCAATTCGTGTTCGTTGGGGGTAGGCCCCCTTCTCTCTCGGAGCTTACTCCTTCGACGCAGTGCACGCCCCTCCCGACGTCTCATGCCCCTCCTCTCCGTGCTCCTCCCCCCCTCTCTTCTCCCCCTTCTTCCCCTGCCCCTTGCAGATCCAGGCACGCATCACCACGTGGGGGTCAGACCCACTCCTGCGATGCAGTGCATGCCCCTCCCGGTGTCTACGATACGTGCAGTCCCATAACCCCCTACCCTCCCCCCCCCCCCCCCTCCACTCCCATCCTCTTCCCCTTTTCTGTCCCTCCGCCCCGTCCCACACAGATTCAGGCCCGGGTAACCACATGGGGATCAGACCCTTTTTCTCTTGGAGCCTACTCCTATGACGCAGTGCACGCACCTCCCGACGTCTACGACTCGCTCCGCGCTCCCCTCCCGCCTCTCTTCTTCGCTGGCGAAGCCACCTCCCGCCCGCACCCTGGCACTGTTCATGGCGCGTTCTCCACTGGGCGGCAAGCTGCTAGAGAGGCGGCGGAGTTCGTCCGGTTGCTGGGTTTGCATGACGGGGCTGTGAAGGACGGGCAGGATAAGGGACAGGGTCACTCAATGGTGCTGCCACAGCAGTTGCTTGGAGGAGGGGTGAGAGGGGAAGAGGTCGGACTGCCGCAGGTGGGCATGAAAGTTCAGGCGGTTTGCTCTGTCTGTCAGGACTTACCAGAGCAGCAGAAGGATCACCAGGAGCAGCAGCAAGTGGGAAAAGATCCTGCAGTTCCATGCTTGTCGTCTTTGACACAGCATGTGGTTTCTGGGAAGGTTGAGGAGGAGGAGTGTCCATTGCAAAGTGGTAGATATAACAATGGAGTGCCATCCGCCAGGAAATTCCCAAGTGACACAGTTGTTTCTCTGCCTGCCCGTGCGTTCATGACGCAAAATCAAGCGGCATGCATTCACTTGGGGTGTGTAACTCAAGCTGAAAAGGGTCTCCCCATAAGAATATCAAGGCTGTGAACGATCTACAGTGATTAGTAATGCATTGTCTCTGATTTAGGAGGAAACCACTTGCTAGTGACGAGTATGTATTTCCCTAACTGTGTGGGTACAAGACCTGTTGTGCATGAAGAAGAACAACTACTGTGGGATTCATTAGCGAAGAACACTACATTAACAGCATGAAGCAGAAATCATGAGTGTTGGCTTTGCAAAAGGGTGCTCCCGGCGGGGCTTGAACCCGCGACCTTCGGCTCATAAGACCAACGCTCTAACCAACTGAGCTACGGGGGCTTGTGGTGTAAGTGTATAATAAAATTTTGATATATACATGTATTTTGGCAAGCGTCACCTAGAAGCGATGAGGCCATATTTTCCACTTGGGACTTACAAACGTTCTAATCGTTCGGTCACCAGCAGCGCCACCCATGCTTTCGGCCTCTCCAGCAGTGCCCGGATTCCCTACTTTCTCTCTCCTCCTGCATCTGTGTTCCTTTCCGTACCCTTATCCCCCACGTCATACACCCCTTAGTGGCTCGATTGGACTTGTATCCGTTCTTATATCGCGATCCGCCATGTCGGGGACGGGATATCGCAGCAGCGTCAACGGCAGCGGCGGAGGCGGCGGCAGCTGGAACGGATCGTCTATTCCTCCACCCACCGTTACTCCCTCCGCGCCTTTTCATAATCCCTCTGCGCCTGTCTGCTATAGTTTCCTCTCCCCGGCTGGGTGTCGGTTCGGAAACCGCTGTCGTTTCTCGCACTCCGTCCTTCCCCGTTCCCATTCCGCCCTTCCGCACCTTCACGCCGGGCCCTCCCACTCCGCGGCTTTTCCCCTAACTGGAAACCACCCCGCGCCTTTCCGCGCTGCTGCTCCCCATCCCCCCACCCTGTCCGCGCTTCTCCCATCCCCGATATACGCCGGCCACCCAGCTGCTAGTTTAGCCACTTGTACATTCCAGCAGGTTCCGCACTCACAGTCATTTCAGCACCCCCTTCCGAACCTGCAAGGAAATGCCAACTGCGCTGGGCGTCCCGAGCCTGTGCGTGGGACTCCGAGCCGAGTTGCTAGGTTCGGATCTGGAGCGGGAATGGGAGGAGGGGAAGGACGGGGAAGGGGAGAAGGAAGGGGAGAAGGAAGGGGAGAAGGAAGGGGAGAAGGAAGGGGAGAAGGAAGTGGAGGAAGACAAGGAGGAAGGGGTGTGTGGAGAGAAAGGGAAGGAGGTGGAGGGTGGGGACGAGGAGGAGGAGGAGAGAGGGGGAGAGGGAGATGGGGAGAACGAGGGAGAGGAGGGGGGCGAGACGTAGAAAGAGGCTGGACTGACGGCGGTCGGGTTGAGGGTTCAGGCAGAGGGAGGAAAGGAGGGGAAGGAGTGGAAGACAGAAGGGGGGGTTGGAGGGGCGGAATGACACGGAGAGAGGAGGGAGGGGGGGAGATCAGGGAAGGTGAGGAGAAGAGAGAGTGGGTTAGCTGCAGGGGGGGTGAGCGAGGGGAGGGAGAGGGGAAAGGTCATACAGGCACACAGACAGAGAGGGATACAGGCACACAGACAGGCGCACAGACAGAGAGAAATACAGACACACAGACAGGCACACATACAGAGAGGGATACAGACACACAGACAGGCACACAGGCAGGCGAAGCGGCAGGAGCACAGGCGGGCGCACATGCAGGGGAACAGGCGGGCGCACATGCAGGGGAACAGGCAGGCGCACATGCCGGGGAACAGGCAGGCGCACATGCAGGGGAACAGGCAGGCGCACATGCAGGGGAACAGGCGGGCGCACATGCAGGGGAACAGGCAGGCGCACATGCAGGGGAACAGGCAGGCGCACATGCAGGGGAACAGGCGGGCGCACATGCAGGGGAACAGGCGGGCGCACATGCAGGGGAACAGGCAGGCGCACATGCAGGGGAACAGGCAGGCGCACATGCAGGGGAACAGGCGGGCGCACATGCAGGGGAACAGGCAGGCGCACATGCAGGGGAACAGGCAGGCGCACATGCAGGGGAACAGGCGGGCGCACATGCAGGCACGCATGCGGGCATGCGTGTGAGTGTGATGAGCTACAACGTGCTAGCATCATGCCATGCGGCCAAGTTCGCCTGGGAGCTCTACCCCAATGTGCCGAGAGCGGTGCTGCACTGGAACCAGCGGAGACATGGGATTGTGAAGGAGATCAAGCGGCACTCTCCAGACCTCATATGCCTGCAGGTAGGGTTCAGGGTACCTTTAAGAGATACTGTAGCACTCCCTACGAGACCCTCTGTTCCTGAGTGGAAGGCAGGGTTCGGGGTTCGGGGTTCGGGGTTCAGGGTTCAGGGTTGTCGCACGAATTGACATAACAAATGTGTTATGGAAATTCGTGGGACAACTCGAGTAGGTTAAGCGAAAAGGGAGGGGAAGCAAAGAGGTGTACCGGGTGATGTCGATAAAAAGGGGAGGTACAGTGATGGGTGCCCAGGCCGAGGTTGGCAGCAGTGGGGCGCTACGACAGTTGGCAGAGGGACATGCAAGAAGGGTACAGCTCAGTGGTGACGAGGCCGGTTAGGGGAAGAGACATGCAGTGAGGCGAGAGGCAGCGTCGATGGCTGGCGACACGGAGCCATCACGGAGGAACAAAACCCCGAAATGGTTTGAGGCTGGTTACACGGGAGGGAAGGGTATGCGCTCCGGAGTGAATCTGCAGGGAGGTAGCCACAAAACTGCGTGTGCGTAGTTGTGTAGCTACTTCTGTTTGTTCTCTCATCATCATAGGAAAGCGTGTATGCTCAGTGAAGTAATGGATTCATTCAGGAGCACAGCTGGAACTATGTAGAGGGGCCAGACAGGGTGAGTGCGAGCTAAGAAAGCTTCCTTAGAGCTTTTCTTAAGAGCGGGAGAGATCAGTAACAATCACATATCAGAGGAGGAAAGGAAAGGCACCAGAGGAGCCGGGCTAGAAGGGAGAGCAGAGCCAAAGGGAAGAGGGGACGCGACAGGGTTCAGGGTTCAAGGTTCAAGGTGAGGGTTCAAGATTCTAGGGTTTAAGGTGGCCTTTTTGATGGGCTTGACGGTTCAGGCTGGTGCCTCTTTCCACTTCCCGTTTCTTCCGACGTCTCAACTCAATATACATCTCCTCGCCCTGTTTCTTGCACTTGGACGCATGCCAGGAAGTCGACAACTACAGGGATCTGCACGGAGCATTGAGCAAGCTGGGCTACGAGGGCATCTTCCAGGTGCGGTGGTGAGACGCACAGAGTGTTGGTATGTTTGACAGCACAGGGGCCATGCTGAATCGGGAGATGACAACTACAGGGATCTGCACGGCGCATTGAGCAAGCTGGGCTATGAGGGCATCTTCCAGGTGCGCTCAACCTTTGATTCGAAACCCTCAACCCTAATGTTCAAGTTGAAACTTTAACCCTAACGTTTGGCCATAACCCTGCAACCCTACACCTTCCGTTCTAAGCCTTTAGTTCGTAACATTCAAACATAAACCTCCAACATGAAATTTCCTACCCAAAGTTTATGCTGTTGTAAATATGAGTGCATAGGGACATCTAGTCAGCTCTCTGCGCTATTCTGGCGAGGTAGTTGTTTAGTAGGTCTGGTCAGCTTACCTTTTGATAGGGATACCAGATTTTGATCATAAGCGTCGGTCTGTGTGCATGTTTGTCTGCGTTTGCATGTCTCTCCCTGTATGTATGTGCATATGCCTGTCTGCATGTGCATGTGCCTGCCTGTCTGTGTGCCTTTCAGTGCCGCACGGGCGGGAACCGGGATGGCTGCGCCAACTTCTGGAATACTAAGAGGTCGGACGAATCGATAAATTTTCTTATGGTTACATTTGTGCTTATACTTGTGCGTATAATGATTTTGTGCTACCTTTTGGAATCCAAAGAGTTGAGGAAGTGTAAAGCTTGTTTGTTGGTTTTTGAGATTTTTCAAAAACCAACTTACTTTTGGAATCCAAAGAGGCGAGGCAGTGCGAAGTTTGTTTGCGTACATCCATCGTTGCCCATTTGTCGGCTTTTATTCTTTGGAATGTCTTTCGCTTGTCCGTTCTTTCCTCAAGTTCTTCAACCCTTCCTCCCACAGGTGGTCCTATGTTGACTTTCAGTCCATTGAGTTCGTTGCTTTGCAGCCAGGGGACAATATTGCACTCCTTGCTGTGTTGCGTTGTATGTGCGTCTCCCAATGTGTGCAGCACCTCCTTCCCTCCTTCCGCCGTCAGGTGGTCCTGTGTTGACTTTCAGTCCATTGAGTTCGCTGCTTCGGGGCTGAGAGACAATGTAGCTCTGCTCACTGTGTTGGAGGTAAGGTGTAGGATGTGGTTTGTACGAACGGAGTTATCTAGGTTTGAGGAGCCTCAAAAGTGATTAGTTACCTTTAACAGATCATCTATTGGCTTTCCTCGAAAGAGCCAGCCCTTTTTTTTTTTTTTTTTTTTTTTTTGGGGGGGGGGGGGGTATATATATTGTTTCTGGTTTCTTGCCATTAGCTTTTCATTTTTTCTGGGGCTCCATGTCATCCTGTTCCTCTGTCTCCTGACCGTTTGCCTCACCACGCCACTTTGTGCGTGCGATCAGTCTAGTGGAAAGGGAATGGAAGCGGGAGGGGGAGCAGACGATGGAGCCAAAGGGGAAGACGGAGAGAAGAAATTGGCTGAGAGTAGTAACAGGTAATTCTAATTCTAATTCTTATTCTAATTGGCTGAGAGTAGTAACAGGTAATTCTAATTCTAATTCTATTTGGCTGAGTGTAGTGACAGGTAATTCTAATTATAATTATAATTCTAATTCTAATTCTAATTCTAATTGTCTGAGAGTAGTAACAGGTAATTCTTACGATATTTGATAGTCCCATTTTTCCTCCGCCTCCTACCTTTCCCCACTTTCTCCTAACCCCCCACTTCTGTCTTTTTTGTTTCCAGCTCCCTTGTCCTCGCCAACATCCATGTTCTTTTCAACCCCAAGCGGGGGGACATCAAGCTGGCGCAGCTTTCAAGGCTCCTATCTGCCGCGCACCAGCTGTCTGAGAAGCACGGCAGTTGTCCCGTGGTGGTCTGTGGCGATTTCAACGCCACTCCCGCAGTGAGTCAAGTCAACAAAACTCAATGCTAGTCAAACGCTTTTCAACCGAGTTGGCTGGGAAAGCATGTTATTTGCAAGATGGGAGCTGACTGACTGAATCTCGGTTTTGCAACCTGTGGGCGGCAATATGCACGAATGTGGATGTGATGTGCTGCCAGAGGTGTAAATTCCATGCTTACGCATCCGCATTCGTGCATATTACACGAAAGAGCCACCTGCTGTTTGAGCCACCTGCGAGAAAGAGCCACCTGTTGCTCTCAGCTGCTCTCTTTTCGTATGCTCTTCGATTCTGGTTTTTTTTTAGGCGTTTTTGAATGGTGCGTGCAAACTGATCGATGCTGCCACCAAAGAATCAGTTCACGCTGTTCTCTTCTCTTATGCCCTTCTTTTTCTCTTTTCTCGTGCCATTCACAGAGTGCACTCCATCACTTCATCGCTTCATCGTAGGTGTCTTTTGAGGCGCCTCAAAATTCCTCTTGTGCTCTTCTATTCTCTTTCTCCTCTCTTATGCTCTTCTATTCTCTTTTCTCTTGTCATCCACAGAGTGCACTCTATGACTTCATCGCTTCATCGCAGGTGTGGATCCACTTTACAGTTTCTATCTGTGCTCTTTCACAGATTATTTTCCCTTTTATTTCACCTTTTATTTCGGGCGTTCACTTCCCTAATGATTTTTGGCACTGTGAACGCCCTTGAGCAGTGAACAGTGTTGAACAGTGTGAACACTGTTCAACACGGTGCATTGCTGCTGAGGGTAACGCCCTTGAACTCCTCTGAACGTCTCGTCCTTCGTGTGGCGGTGCCAATTGCACTTTCAAACGTCTTTGTTCTTTCGATTTGCACTGCCTCAAACCTTTGCGTTCCCCGTCCCTACTCCCATCCCCCTCTCGTCTGCTTCACCACCCCCTTCTTCGCCAACCCCAACTCCCCAGCTCGATCTCTCTTGCACCGATCGCCGAATGGTATCAGGACAGCTGGAGGGAGGGGAGGGCCAGCCGCAAATCCGGTTCCAAGCATCCGCCCGCATGTGGCAGAATGGGTATGCCACAGATTGGTACAGGACACACTGCATCACTGCATAGTCGATACGAACAGGCACAGTGCATAACTTCTTTGCTCTATGAGTGGACTGTTGGCCATTGGCTGTCTAGTTCTGCACGTGAAACAGCTCGGGATTTTGGTCAATGTGCGTTTCTATGAGTCGACAATACGCCTGGTGGCTGCTACTCTTTTTTACTATCCCCATGTTAACAGTTCAGTCCGGCACATAGGCCATAACCACCACCAGTTCCACTACCTTTTCCTTTTCTTTGCCTTTTCCTTGCCCTTTTTTTTCTGCTTCCTTGTCTAAGTTTCGTGCCCATCTCAGGATCGAAAAGGCAAAGGGTGGAGACGAATGTGGATGGGAAAGAGATGGGGGGGGTGGTGGGATGTGCGGATGGGGTGGTGGGATGTGTGGATGGGGTGGTGGGATGTGTGGATGGGGTGGTGGGAGGGAGAGAGGGGGAAGGTGACATGACGGGAGATGTGGGGGAGAAGGAAGAAGGGGAGGAAAGGGAGGAGGGTGGGGACGAGGAGGGATTGGAGGAGGGTGAGGAGGTGAGTGAGGAAGAAGAGGGGGAAGAGGGGGAAGAGGGGGAAGAGGGGGAAGAGGGGGAAGAAGGGGAAGAGGGGGAAGAGGGGGAAGAAGGGGAAGAAGGGGGGGAACACGAGGGAGGGAAGGAAGAGGAGCAAGGCGGAAATTTACAGCAGGATAAAGTAGAGGAAACAGCAGAGGACATTCAGCTGGGCTTGTCGGGAGAGGACTTAAAACGAGTTCACATTGGGGGGGCAGGGGGGGGTAGTGTGGAAGGATGGGAGAATGGTGGCGGTGGGTGGGGGGGAACTACCTATGATTTGGGAAGGATGGGAAGGATGGGAAGGATGGGAGGGATGGGAGGAGGGATGGGAGGAGGGATGGGAGGAGGGATGGGAGGAGGGATGGGAGGAGGGATAGGAGGAGGGATGGGAGGAGGGATGGGAGGAGGGATGGGAGGAGGGATAGGAGGAGGGATGGGAGGATGGTCCTATGAGGAGCTAAGGATCGCGACAGGGGGCGATGGAAGGGGTACTGTTGTGAAACACCCCCTGAGACTCAAGAGCGCTTATTCTCAAGCACCGGTGAGATTCAGTTTTCTGCTCTTGCCCTTTATTTCACACATTCACATGCACATGCACATGCACATGCAGATGTACAAATGCATGCTGTGCGTTCTCACACATCCCTCTCTCCCCCCCACCCCCCACCCCCCAACTGCCCCCGCCCCCCCACACACAGAGACTTACCGCTTTCAATGAAACATCCTTCTTTCTTCCCAGGCTTGGCTTTTAGGGTGTCATTCTATGCCAACTCACATGACATTCTGCCTGCTGACGCCATCAGTCTGTGCTGACATCATCATTCTGGGATGACATCATCATTCTGGGATGACATCATCATTCTGTTCTGACATGATCATTTGCGATGACATCATCCTTCTGTCATCGTTTGCTGGCAGACTGATAATCGTCATGCATGCCCAAAGGGAGAGCCATTGCTGACGTCATTCCATGCAAGGTTCTGTGGAACTGTGGATTACATCTGGTGGGTGCGGGTTTGTTGCATGCGTGTCGTTGCATGCGTGTCGTGTGAGCTGCGGGTTACGCATGGGCCATCAGATGCATGGGTGCTTGTTTTGAGTCGACTCACACACCTGGTTTGACTGAAAACACCTGTGGAACCTTGGACCGCATATGGCGAGTTGCATGCGTGTGTGTTTTGAGTCGACTCACACACCTGAGTTGACTCACACACACACCTGAGTCGATTCACACACCTATGGAATTGTGGATTGCATGTGGTGGGTGCAAGTGATATGGTGGGTGCTTTTCCCCTTCCCCCCACCTCCCCCGCCCATCAGGCACACACACGATTTGGAGGTGCGGCGAGTATTGAATATGCTTCCTACCTCCCACATCGCCCACCATGGCACCATGCCCGTTCACCTCTACTCAAACCCCCTTCCCACCCTCTCCCCCCTGCCCCCCCGGTTTTCACTCGCCCTCCCCCCCCACTCCCCCCTTCCCCCCCTCCTCCCATCAGGCACACGCACGAGTTGGAGGTGCGGCGAGTGCTGGACGTGCTTCCCACCTCCCACATCTCCCACCACGGCGCCATGCCCACGCGCCGCTGGCCGAGCGACCACTTCTCGCTGCTGGCAGAGTTCACTCTCAGGTGCCAGCCAGAGCAGCAATGAAGGCATCCTCCCTGCAGGCGCGGCGAGTATTGGACATACTACCTGCGTCCCACATCTCGCATCACCGCTCCATGCCCACGTGCTGTTGGCCCAGCGAAGCGACCACTTCTCGTTGCTGGCAGGCAGAGTTCACTCTGCGGTGCCAGCCAGGACAGCATTCAGCAAGCAGGTGCTGCTGCAACCATGGGGGCGGTTTCCATGCCAGATGGCCCGTACATCTCCCATCACAGAGCCATGCCATATGTGCCGCCTTTTTGAGGTGCCTAAGAAATGTGCCGCACATCTCGCATCACATCACATTCGTGACTCATGTATATAGCCTATCCTTGTGGTCACGTCACGTTCATTTGCTGGTGTTGCCGTCACAACTCCAAATCAGAAGGTGCAAGGCAAGCCACGCTTGGTTGAAGAATGCTGGAGCATGCATATGCAGCAGGAAAGGAACAGTGTGCGTACGTATGACACGAGTATTTGAAAGATGGGCTGAGCTTGCAAGCACAAATGCAGGTTTGTGAGAGGCAAGGAGCTGCTAATTGGCGTATATTAGATTGCAGGACATGTGTCAAGAGACCCACTTGGGTTGCCCTTGAGATCCTCGGAGAAGGGCTACAGGCCTCTATGCCTGGGGGGTTATGGGCGCGCTATCCTGGTACTTAACCAGCCCTTCTTGCAAAGAGGTTAGCGACTGCGCTTCTGACATGGTATCAGAGCCGAAGGTTTCCGGTTCAAATCCCAGCATGCGCCGGTAGAGGTGCCGAGTCCTCCGCCTATCCTAGCGAGGGGCAGTGTCAAGAGACCCACTGGGGTTGCTCAACTCAACTCGCGGTGTTGGAGACGGCGGGTGCACAGCTGTGACGAGTCCCAATATCTGCAGGCCAGTTCCGGTGTAGCGGGGGATGTGAGGATCCTCGGGATAGGCTGTCTTGTCTCCTGCTTCAGGATCAGGCACGAATCGGGTCCTAGGCGTTTCGAAACGTTGGTGTCAACGCTGTGTGGGGTAACGTAACCGTTGTCGGCGAAATGGTAATACGTCTCAGCGTTCGCAGTGTCGTGAGGGTTGTTGTCGTCCATCGGCATGTCAATGGAGCATTAAGGAAGTGGTCCAGCAGTCACAGAGGCGTCCGTAATGCTCTGCTCATCCAGGTCAGCTTCTTCTTCTGCCGAGGCAAACGTGCGTGTGCCAGCGAGACCTCCAGAGGGGTCCTGATTGGTGGCGATGTTGTCGAGGTAGTGGCTGAGTGTCAGGTTCTTGTAGAGAATCACGCCACGTGCTGCCACTCTTTCCTTGTCTTCCATATCGAAGATTTTCCAGACGTTGTAATGTTTTTCAACGTCGAGGTAGTCCCCATCTTGCCCGTTGTGAGAATCTTACAGCCTGTGCAGTGTGTGGTCGGTAATATACCATGCATCCAAAAACTCGTAAAAGTTTTGTGGTGCCCTGCTTCCTTGTCCACAGCAGATGCAGTGATGCGTTGTTTGGGATGTAGCTAGACAACAAAAGATTATGCAGCATTACAGCGTGGTCCATCACCTCTGGCCATTGCGAGCTGGGCAGACGCATGCCACGTAGCAGCTTCATCATGGTGTTATGGAGGGTCCTGTTCATCCATTATGCCACACCGTTCTGTGGATGAGCGTAGGGGAGGGCTAGAAGTCTCTTGATTCCCCTCTCCGCAAGACAGTCCTTGAAACGTTGTGACAGGTATTCCATCGCTCCGTCAGTTTGAAAACTTTTCAGTTTTACGCCCCCTCCCCTCTCTCTGTTGTAGCGAGCCATGTGACGGACGTAGAGAATGCAAGGTCTCACGATGGCAGATTGAGATGCCAGGTGTGCCGTGTTGCTACATCGACGAAGGTTACGACGAAGTTCAGGTCCGACTTGCCGATTTCGCGTGGGATAGGCAGTATGTCATTGTATACATTTTCGAATGGAGTGTGCGCATGTGTGCTGGGGTTGTGTTGGGATGGGAGCGGTTGTCGAGGAAGATCAGCTTCGTGGCAAATGAAGCAGGTACATCTTTGTCGGCGTAACTCTCTTCCGTCGAGTAGTAACAACGCGTCTTTGTTAAGTACGCTTGCTCAAATAGTGTCAAAGAGTCTTGAGTTTCCCGGATGTCCCTTTGATGCCATGTCTCTTTGCTTGCTTTGAGCCCGACCGATCTTTAGTAAAGATCGGAGTTGGCGTAGAAGGCGGAGAACGTCCTTGCGCTCCGATGGTGTTCTCGGGTGTGGGTCTTCAGCTGCTCGGCTTCTGTTGGTGGCGGTTCTTCGACTGGTGATTCTTCGGCTCGTGGTTCTTGGGCTGGTAGTAGTTCTTCGGCTGGTGGCGCAGATGAAGTTCCAGTGATTGGCTGTTCAATGGTTTCGCGTATCGGCGCTCTTGGTTCTTTGGTTGTCCTTGACATTCTTTCATCTCGTGTTTCTTTTGCTTGCCGCATCACTGCTAATGCCCGTGTACTTTCTGCTTCAGGTATCGTGCTGGAGTACCAGAAGCCATTTCTGTCGAAGCCGGGATCTAGGTCCAGCGGGTGCGTCCAAGTGGTGAAGGAGATGATGCAATCGCTGTTGGCAGTGACGCGGTCTGGGACGAAGCCCAAGATGAAGATGCCAGACTTCTGGACCGCCCGCCGACGAAGAGTCCGCCCTTCTCGTGGTAAAGCCAAAATTTGTGGCCGAAGCTATTGCACTCCAGGTGGATGCCCTTGGACATCAGCTGGCTGACGCTCTGTAGGTTGTATCCGAGGTTGTCGATGACAAGTACTCATGACATCTGTAACACCACGCTTGTTTTGAGTCACTGCAACTGAACAACGCCTTCCATTTGTGTGCGCGGGTTCTGGTTGTTGGCGGTGGTGATCACGAGTTCTCAACTCAAGGTCTTTTCTCGCTGGACGAAGTGCGCGAAGAACACATGTGCTGCCCGCAGCAACTGTAAAGAAACCAAGTGCCTCGTCCAGATGGTTCTTCGCGTGCTATCGCAACGTAAGTCGGTTTCGGTTGAAGTCGGGTTTGTTCGGTGCTGGTGGTCGCTCGTTGAGGTCGCGGTTAGGTGGAGAGTCTAGTACGCAGGAGTCTGGTCGCGCCATGCAGCTGACAACGTCGGTGTTGAGACGTCGGTGCTGGTGGGCATTGCTAAGTCAAGGCGATATGACTGGTAGACGGGCGAACCAGACTAGTTTGATACTGTTGCTGCTGCTGTCGGTGTCTCTGTTGCTACATGGGACAGTTGAAGCGCGAGTGCCCGGATATGCGGCAGAGATGGCAATATGGAGGTGCGTGTCGTTTCTGATTGTTGTGTCGCCCATGTGTGTAAAACGTGATCCGATGACTTGGCTTTCTGGCGAGTCGTTCCGCGTACAAGTCCATGTCCTGCTGCTCAGCGTTAAGTTCCGCGCAGAGGTGCATCTTGGAGATTCTCCCGTGGGCTGATAGGAGCAAGCGTGTCATGTGCCACTGCAGACTGAGACCGGCGAGGACGAACGTCACGAGCACGTCTTCCGATAAGTGCCCTCCGCTCTGTAGAAGTCTGTCTCATAGTCCTCCGTAGCGATTTATGTCTGCCATTGCTTTCTCCCCTCCTTGCATTTGAATTGTCGTAAGTTGCACCATGAGTCGGCTCTAAGTCACACTGTCGGATGCTTGGTAGACACTCTTCAGGTGGTAGTAAGCGAGCTCAGCCGAGTTGCCGATTCTGTATGTCCGGATGCTTTGTTGTTCTGTCGGTGTCAGATTGCGCAGGAGGATGGTGAACGCCATAAATGACTGATACTATCACATAATTGAATGAGGTTTGCTCAATGCTGCACTATCGATCAGTTGAAGGTGCCTTTATACTTCCAGAGTACATCAGGTACTAGGTTTATCCTATCCAAAGTAAATAGAACCTTCTAGAAAGAGAATCACGATGTGTATATCAATGGGAGGCTATTGGCTTTAAGGGATTCCGATAGGATTACGCTAGATATAGTGCGCCAATGCATCCCAAGCCTGGTCGGTGATATAGTCATAAGAATGTGATAAACCGAAGGATAATGGAAAATGAGGAATAGGAAAACAAATGTGATGAGATAAAGACCAAATGAATCAGGATAAACAGGGGAATGAAATAGAAAGAAAAAAGGAAAGGGGAAATTGGTGTAACAAGGCCGTACTCTCACAATCCCCCCTCTCAAAGCTGGGTGGTAGAAGTAACACCCTGCTTAATAAGGTAGTCGCGAAGAGGACGACGGGCGTTACCCATGCCGAATTTAGAGACACTGCCTCATAAGTATCATAACCCTTCTAGCAAAGAAGAAGCTCCAGAGTGCCATTCTGATGACGACGGTGTCCGAGCACGTAGTTGTCCTTGTGTTTCGATTTATTATGGACGAACACATGCGGTGACAGTGGTTGGCACTCGGTGTAGAGTGTGTTTGGTCCCGATAGGATTTAAGAAGCTGATATGGAAGGCATTATGGATATTCCAGGTGGCTAGTAGGCGTAAGCGGAAGGTGACTGAAGTGACCTCTGCTTCAATCAGGATGGACCCACAGAAGCAAGGTTGAAGCTTGGATGGAAGATGGCTGATGTCGAGATTACAGTGTGGATAACTGTAGTGATGAGCGGCCAAGTGCTTTTGCTGTTGTTGGATGTCCAAGAGGTGTGTCCGATCTTAGAGCTGGTGGACAATGATGATGAAATGGAATTGTCGGTTGCTGTGGTGTGAGTGGGTTGGGTCTGTAGCAAAGGAGGAATGGTAATCATCATGTTGCAATCGAGGTGGCATTGATGTAGATGCACTCCCATATCACTAGCGTTGTGCACAAGTTGTTCAACAATTCGATTGAGCCACGCTGTATGTCCGTCAGTCTGTAGGTGGTACGTGGATAGCGTTGATCGTGTGTCGTAAGTTGTTGTAGCGCGGAATAGTAGATGTGCTGCCCTTTCGTTGCGTGCTGTAACTGGCACACTATACGTTAAGTCTCTGGTAGCACACCCTGTCGTTACTCACATCTCTTCCACGTATGAAGATGACTTAGTGTTGGTGGTATTGCAGTCATATAATAGTACTGCTTATGTAGCTTCGTTGTATCCGATACAAGCAGCTTCTGTCGAATGCTGGTCCATGCCTTAGTGTTGTCGTGAGTCGTACGCTCTCGGCATCGTAGTGTTGCGGGATGGAGAGCAAAGTCACTAGTAGTAACTCTATCCACCAGGTGGTTTGCGACTCACACTGCCTCGAGTACAATAGCACATGCGAAGTGCTGCTCACTGTATCCCTTGTGTCCAAAACCATGCGAGGGGTTGGTACCGTGAACGCGAAGCTGGTAACTTCCAGATTCGGCGCTGAAGTTTGCCCTCGATGGCTGTTGAAGCAAGGAATCTCAGCTGCGTAGATTTCCCACGGTAATGGTTTAACATATATGGGAATGTTAGGGCTATTCCCAAATAATCCTCTCCCATTTCCAAGTGGGCATTAATAGTAGTCAATCCAGTATGACATTACGCACTTCCAGTTTAGCACGGAGGCCATCGGTAGGCATCGGTGTCTAGCTGTACATATTGGAGTAGGTCTGCTGGCACTA